AACCAGGAGCCTTTTTTTTCGCTTGTTTGTCGTTGGAAACGCCTTCAAGATCACCAAGGTGGCAATCCGCACAAGCCTGCACAGCGCCCTGGGTTTCTCCCGGTACTTTTCATTCATTGAAGACTGAAGAGTTCCCCTTGGGACCGCTCCGAAAGGGAGTAACATCAACACACACAGAGACAAATGGCCTCTCTTCAACTAAATGACCAAGAACTGCCCTCAAGAGGAGCCACACTGAACTGGTTGGTTTTATGTTGGTCTCGAAACGGGCCAGAGACACCATCAAATACTCTTAATTAAGACGAGCTCCCAAGCGGTTTCTTGGCTGCATCGCCCCGTGGTCAGCGGTTGCGCCCGCCTGGACTTAGGCGTTGAGCCATTTCCCTGGCGCGACATCGGCGCGCCGGTGCTTGCGACGGGCTCAATGGGGTTGTTTCAAACAGCAACATGGGCGTGTCTTGTCTTGGGGTACCCCCGTTTTGGTTGGTTTTCTCGGGAGACCCAAAGGAACGCGCCATTTTTTGAGGGTCCCCAAAATTTAGAAGACACACCCACAAGGGTGATGGGTGGTTCAACCAAAGTTGGGCCCCGCTTTAGAAACGCAATCGAAGCCGGTTTGGTGTGTTTGAAAATTCGTATGTTGGATCCGTTTTGATCATCGATCATGGAAGTTGCCAGGGGGTTCAAAGACTACGGTCGAGCAAGCCCCACATCTCAGCAAGTTGCAAGTCATTCAACCATCTCCTTGGAATTGTCAGTGAAACCATGGGGAGAAGACAGAGAGTGGCGCCGAACCGCTAGTTGAATCATGAAAAGGAGGTCCCCAAGGACCAAGCCACAATTCTTTAGCCCAAACACCTGCAATATGCGACAATGTGTTGGTTTCCACGTAAACTTTGTCGAAGGCCCAACACAAAATAATCACTTGATCAAAGTTGCAGGATTCTCTCTGGCGCGGCGTTACACCTTTTAACCTTGTGGAAAGGTGTGATTTTCCCACTCGGCAAAAGAGCAACTTCTGCACGGGGTCAGAGACCACTCTAGATATGCCAACAAGAGCTCGGCGAACAGATATGGGTTTGGGTCAAAATTAAGCAACCAGCGGACCGCAGGTTTTAGTCCATGTTTCCACTTCCCAGGGCAACCCATTTTGGCACCGGTTTGTTGACCCGCAGCCATATTGATCACGGTTCTGAGCCTCTGAAAGCCGACCAAAGAAAACAGACGTCATCGGGAGGTGTTTCTTGCTGTGGCCATTGCTGGATTTGGGTACGCATTCGAATCCGGAGCTGGGCCATGAATATATGAGCCACGGACAAAACACACGAAGACCACTTTATCAAGGCGGGGTACGTTTTTGCATAACACATGCCAAAACCATGGAAAACGATAAGGTCTCCCCCAAAAACGATAACCCTTGGCTAACACACGGCTCTACAATAACCCCTGCAGTTGCAACTTAGCTAGGGTGGGACCCTTGCGTGGCCACCGTAAAACGAGAAGGCGAGTCGCCACTTTCGAGCTGGAGCTGCCAAGGTGTGCTTCGTAAATACGACACTTGTACTGAGAAGTTGCGATTTTCGAGCTGGAGCTGCGGAAGTGCACTTCGCGTACTAGACTTGCACGACAAAGTTGCGATTTTCGAGCTGGATGCGCAAGTGTACTTCTCGTACTAGACTTGTACTACAAAGTTGCGATTTTCGAGCTGGAGATGCGGAAGTGTACTTCGCTTGCTAGACTTGTACTACAAAGTTGCGATTTTCGAGCTGGAGCTGCGGAAGTGTACTTTGCGTACTAGACTTGTACTACAAAGTTGCGATTTTCGATGTGGAGCTGCGGAAGTGTACTTCGCGTACTAGACTTGTACTACAAAGTTGCGATTTTCGAGCTGGAGCTGCGGAAGTGTACTTTGCGTACTATACTTGTACTACAAAGTTGCGATTTTCGAGCTGGAGATGCGGAAGTGTACTTCTAGACTTGTACTACAAAGTTGCGATTTTCGGGCTGGAGATGCGGAAGTGTACTTCGCTTACTAGACTTGTGCTACAAAGTTGCGATTTTCGAGCTGGAGCTGCGGAAGTGTACTTCGCGTACTAGACTTGTGCTACAAAGTTGCGATTTTCGATCTGGAGCTGCGGAAGTGTACTTCGCGTACTAGACTTGTACTACAAAGTTGCGATTTTCGAGCTGCGGAAGTGCTGCGGAAGTGTACTTCGTGTGCTAGACTTGTACTAGAAAGTTGCGATTTTCGAGCTGGAGATGCGGAAGTGTACTTTGCGTACTAGACTTGTACTACAAAGTTGCGATTTTCGAGCTGGAGATGCGGAAGTGTACTTCGCTTACTAGACTTGTACTACAAGTTGCGACCTTCGAGCTGGAGATGCGGAAGTGTACTTCGCTTACTAGACTTGTACTACAAAGTTGCGATTTTCGATCTGGAGCTGCGGAAGTGTACTTCGCGTACTAGACTTGTACTACAAAGTTGCGATTTTCGAGCTGGAGATGCGGAAGTGTACTTCGCGTACTAGACTTGTACTACAAAGTTGCGATTTTCAAGCCGGATCTGCCAAAGTTCGAAAGCACTGTAAAACGATAAGGTCTCCCCCAAAAACGATAACGTTCAAAAAAGTACTAGGGCCAAGTAAAGTGTTTCGTCCGCTCCTCATATATATATATATATATTTTTCCTTTGGTTCCCTTTAAACCTTGGTGCAACAGGGCAGTTTCAAAACATACAGACCTTGGCTTTGTCTCCAAATGAGGGGCACACTGGTTTCTATCGAGATATTTGCCAAAGGGGCAGTTTTCGAAAAAACGGGACACGCCCGATGGGACTCGCTGGTGGTTTTTCTCCAGAAGCTCCGAGGCGTGTAGCTGGGAGGAGACCGGCCACAGGCGCAGAGGGACAAGTCTGTTTGTTCCACTTGGTTTCAGGGGAAACCGGAAGAAATAGGATTGTCAGAGTTCGAGTCTCAAAGTTCGATGCCAACTTACCCGCCTGCTACTGGGGTCGAATGGGATCACCCATAATTGCGATTGTCTTGCCAAGTTTTTTGGGGAGTTTCACGTTCGGGCGATGCTCCGTCCCGTCTTCGGCAGAATTGGATGCAAGCTGGGGCTCGCATGGAGCCTCCCTTATTAAAATTCATACCCATGGGTTTTGGGAAGACCATACTACTTGCGAAGAAACATTGGGGACGCTTTTTGGCCAGTCGTCACAGGAAGTTAGGGCGGCCCGTCTACTTGGGGCATCTGCTTTTCCCTTCAAAATCAACCAATCAACCAATCGGTGCCCTCTCTTCCCGACTGACCGCTGGGGGTCGGGTTTGGCCAACTGCACGGAATCTGACTTCCCCAGTTTCTGGACATTAAACGTTTGGGAGATTTTTCACTGGGGGTACTTGATTTTGACCCAGGGCCATTTGAGTGGTAAGGAAGTCTGCTCACTGTTCCTGACCCAGGAAGTAGGGAATGATTGAACATGACAACCAAGTGCCGAACCGGCGAACCGCAGACAGAGTCCGAGCAATTGCAGTCAGGCCGCTCCAGCAGCAAGTCAAAGGCCATGGAGACCAGTCAATCCTGCATGAGGTATGCTCCCAACCGTCGCGTCAACAAGCGAGCGGACCGAAACAACAACAGAGAGCCATGTAGTCCGATGTCACTCGCTGAGTAAGCGTGTTCACTTTGGCTGTTCACTTTTCTGGACCATGTTTTCGCGAACGACCGTTTGGACTCTTTTTGGATCATGGCCAATCCGAGTGCGACGCCCTCAGGTTTCACTGCTACGAGCGTCTGGATCTCGAGGAGGAAGCGCGGCTCCTACAAAGGCGACCACTTGGAACTGTGGAGATGCTTGGAGGCTGCCTGGGCTCTCCTCCCAAACTATGGCTCTTACAGTTTAGTGTAGAGTATATATTCATGTGTGTGTGTGTCTTTTTGACAGACCCCTTTTGTGCATGTGTTTGCGGTTTTAAGGGGAAACCAAAAGGACACCAGACCATGGTGCCGCTCTACATGAACGCATCCATGCGGGGGCAGAGCTGTGTTGCTCTGCTGGTGGGCGTGCGGAAAAATGTGGCCCTAGTGCGTTGACACTGAGGAACTGCCCGGTTTCTGACGGACAACAATGCAAATCCGGTGTTCAGAACACCAAGAATCACTGGGCTCAAGTCAGCCTTGGGGCATGCAACAGCAGAATGCTTCCAAGGCGCGCCAGAAAGTTCCTTTGGGCCTTCAACAGATTCTGGAATCCAAAGGCTCGACCTCCATGGCCGGATGAATGGAGGATTTGGGGGGTACACCGATTGGGTTTTGGTTTGGGGTGGCGCAGATGTCCACCGATTGGCCAGGTGCGGGGTCGCCGTCAGCCACGGCAGCAAAAAGCGAGCGAGGGGCCTGCGGCATGCGTAAACTTGGACCGCTGGGCCTCAGCTCACGGATTCTGCTGTCCAATTCTAGCAAGATATGGATGTGGCTCAACAAACCGGAATTCCAAAATGGGTTGCCCGATCGGTAAGTGGAAACATGGGCCTGTTTAATTTTGAGCCACACCCACATGTTGTGAAAAATACAGGGTCAGTGAACAAGCTGTCACGTTTTGGGGGTCTCGAAATGAGTACAGGACCCGCAACCCTTTCTTCTTGAGAGTGGCCTCGTTGCCTCTCGATGAACTCAGAACGATGGTGATTGCCGCTGCTCGAACCAAGCGGTACCTAAAGCTTGCCCGCAAAGATCGGTCGGGACCAAGCTGCATATTCGGAATGGCAACGACCCAATTTGGATGATGACAGATCCTTAGGCAAACCATGGTGGTTATGTGAACTTGTAGGTGTCCTTTTTAGTCTGCACTTTCACACTGATACAGGGCACTGCTTTTTGAAGGCTGGCATGGTTCCGGTTTTTGCAGAGCCTGGTTTCAAGCCTATGTATGAACTCTGATTGTTGTAATGGTGGCAACTGAATTTCGGGCTTGGAGCTTAGGACTCGCCCCATCGCAGGTGAAGCTCCACCTGACAATGAAGCACCCACACATCTGCGAGGCGCCGGGGAGGTTCACCGAATGAGTCGCTCGTCTTTTGCTTGGAGTTGGTACCTTTTTGGGGGTTCAATCAGAAACCAAAAGGAAACCAGCCAGTTGCTGGGTCCCCCAAAAAAGAGATGCACCCTCATGAGAATTACCTTTCAAAGGCACCACTTCGTGCAAGAATCTCACTTTGGGGGATTCAGGGACCCCTTTTTGGGGTTCAATGTGAATTTGTTGCCGAACTCGCCGAAGCAACTTGAGGCTTTTGCCAGAGGAAGTGCAAACTTATCGCTGCTATTCGAAGGTTTGATTCCCCATTCTCTTCCCCCATGGTTCTCATTGGAAACCACCCATTTTCCAGGGTTTTGGCCCATTGAAGAGAATGACGCCTGAGGAGAATGGGGAGGGTGCAGCTCGAACTAGAGGCAAGCTAGTTCGAGGAGGAGGAAAAGTATGACCCGCGGCTCAAGTCCTCTTCATACCTTCAGTGGCATCGGCTTGCTTAATAAGTGCTTCCGGGTAGCTGGGCCTTGTTCCCATTTCCAACATCCCGAGCAGTGTCCAAACCAGTGCTGGCTAGGAATAGGTGGTTTCCTTTTGAAGCTTCCTTTCAAGTACATCCCAAAGGAGGTCCCCAATTGTTGGGACAACTTCATTTGCAGGACCTGGTGCTGTCAAAACCATGCTCCTTGTAAGTACAGCAAGTGCACTGATCTGAACTTTCAAGATTTGGAGTGCCAGACACAGTTCAACAGGCGTGCGTTCCGAATGTGACAGCAACCCTTGCATATGAGCAACGGGCAACATTGCGAGTCCTTTTTGGTAGTTTTGGTACAAAAATAGACGGCGATTCCTGGTTTACCTGGTGGTGTAATCATCTACCAGGGCCATCTGTTTTTCCAGCGACACCTATGGTTGCCAGGATATTTGTCCTGGTCCGGCAAGCAGGTAGTCCATGTCGAAGCGGTTTCTGGTGGTATTGTCGTGTATTAATGTTAGTCTTTTTGAGGGAACCCTCATTTTGTTGTGTTTGCAAGGGAACTCCAAAAGGACCACTCACCATGTTTGGGCAAAAAAAAGAAAACGACACCGATCGATATAGCGTTTATGACATAAGGATCTGACCATGGCGTGAATGAAAACCGAAGGATCCCTGAAGAGGACCTAGCTGCTACCTTCGCTACCTTCTGGCGCGTCGCGAAAGGGGGATCCCCAAAAACGGGTTTCTGTTGACTTCCCTCTGGGCATCTTTCAGCCAACCTACAGAAGGTATAATCAGGGGAACCCCTTAGAAAGAGACACGCCTCTAGGGGTTGCTTCCTTTTCCATAAGGAGTTCCTTGTGAAGACTCTAGGTAGAACCCTCCAGCCCAGCCCACCAAGAAAGCAAGTTCCTAATGAAGATTCTTTCTTTTCAACCCCGCTTCCCCTTGGATTCTGCTTTTGTTTTCTGAAAAGAAAAACGGATCCCTGGAAGGAATGGAATTGGAGGTGTCCCCTAGAATTCCCACGCGGTTCAGACCTGACGCCGGCCAGCTTCTGGAGTATTTCGACGAGCCCAGCACCGTGACGTTGATACTGGAGCCCGGCTCCTGGAGTTGGAATTTTTGGAGCATCTTGTTCATGTGGCTGTGGTTGTCAAAGCCGTTTTGGAGCCTATTTTGGTTGGTAGGTGAATTCACCACTCATTTTAGACCTATTTTAGTGGGGATTGGGATGTTCACTGGGGGTACGGGATTTTGACCCATGGACATGTGGGTGTGGCTCAAACATAGGGTAACCCCAAAATGGAACCCGGGCAAATGGAGAAGTAGAGCAAAACCTGCGGTTCCCCTACCTCTTAAATTTTGAGCCACACGCATGTGGGTTCCTTGCTGGGTACTAGTACTTGCATGTTCGGCCAAGTTAGTAAGTGGTGAGCTACTCGAGTTATAACACCCACTAACAAAGGGGTTTCTCCACTCATGTGGATTTATGCGTGGGTGGTAACCCAATTTGCCAACAAGTTACTAACCTGGCCGAACATCCAAGTTTTCTGTCCGAGATTGCTGTGGCTGGGTACCTTGGGTACCTTTCTGCCTCACACCCGAAAGGGCAAATAACTTGAAAGGGAAACCAGACAGAGGTGCATTTTGCTTGGATGTTCGGACTTTACCTTTTTGCCAACTAACAGATTTTCCGTGAAACCACCAAAAGTTAAACTTTTCGCAGGGGAGCAGATTTCGCAACCGAGCAAAAGGGCGCCGAATCTCCGTCTATCTTGGCACCCGAGTGTTCCGCTTGGATTTGGGCAAATGAGCGACCAGGACCCGGCAACGGAAAAGACCTCGGGTGGACCAGTGGCAACCCCTGGTAGAGAGGAACTGTGAAGAAAACCGTTCTCCGAATAGCTACCGTGGGGTTGGTCCATCGTTTTTTCGCGAGGCTTCGGGAGACTGCTGACCCCAACTGGCTTCTGAGTAAACTATGTGTTGCTACATGCATTGTCAGTTCAGCCGAATTAGGATGGGAGCTTGTTGGCGGTGTTCCCCACCAAGGTAATGTTCACCCCCGATAAATACCCCCACTTCGACTCCAGTTTTCGGAAAGTCCAGCAACGGGTGTTAAAGGAAATGGGAAGAAGCCGAGCCTACCATCATCCAATCCAGGCACCCGGGCCTTTTATTTCACCCCCCGCTGAGGGATTCCATGCCACCCGCTTACGCCCGCCTCACCGACTCACCGACGCGGCCGTGGCGAGGTACTGCCGTGGCGGCGATCTCTTCGACGCCATCGTGGCCCAGTCAAAGGACGACTCGACTCGATCCGCGTCGAGCGCATGGGACAAACGAAGACGAGGGTGGCTCAACTCGGTTTGGGAGTTGGTACCTTTCTTTGTTTTTGCTGTTTGAAGGTGAAACCAAAAGGAAAGCCGAAGCCATGTTGGCGGTCCCCGAAAAAGTAAAAATAGAACGCGCTCGCAAAACGTGACTCTTGGCTTTCAAAACCGCTTACATAATCAAGAGTGGTGTGCCCTTTTTTTGGAGGGCACCCATGTTGGGGTTGGTGTAAAGAAGGTTGGTGTTTTTTCTTGGACCCAGATCATCCAACCGGTCCCCATTCTCGGACATCAAACACAAGCGACGGAGACCTCGAGCGACTTTCCACAGGCTCAAGCCACGCCCCAGAGGGCGCGCCGAAGATGGGCGGCGTCAAGGGGTAAGCGCTGCTAGCAGCCCACGGAATTTGTATTTGCACCAAGGTGGCCCCGAGCCCCCCAGCCTTCCGGCTCCTTGGCTTTTTGGCTTTTTAGTTGGTTCAGCTGGGGGGTGTCCGTTTAACTCTCTGAAAGTTAAACTGTTGGCAGAGGATCTGAGGACAGCCCAGTTGCACAAAGGTGGTTGAACGGATGTGTATCGTTTGGGGGTTTTCGGGGCTTTGTGATAACAAACATAGACCGACAAGAAGGAGCTGAGGATAAGCCAAAGATAAGCCTCATGATTTCAATGAGTCACAACCGCAGAGCATCCCCCATGTCTGTTGCAGGGTCGAAGGATTTGCCCTTTGGGTTCCCTTGGAGTTGCTTTTAAGGGAAGCCAAACAAGTATTTGTTGGATGTTCCGAGGCCCCGCCTTCAGTCATAAGTACGAAGCAGAATCTGAACCCTGGGGTTCAAACCACCAGTAAAACAATGGTTGGGTTGATACAACCACCATTGTTTACGTAAGGATGTTCATCTAAGTTGGGTCCATGCCATCGTTTTGCTGAACCCTTTTCACCTGAATTGCGTCGGTTGAACCCCTACTGTGGATGGACGAAATCCTGCACCACCTAAGAAACCCTGGAATGATTGCCTTGCAAATATCAACAAACAATGGATTCAACCATAGTTTCAAATTGGTGCGAAATGGATTTCGCAACCAGCATCCGCAGTAGGGTGAAGATATCGTTTTTTCCTGTGTACCCCATGGGCCAAGATAGAAATTCTACCCGCGGGTCCGGCGTCCGTCAGAACACTGGGCGTGGCTTCACGGAGAAGCAGGCGATCATCGCAACGCGGCACGTCCTGGCGGGCCGTTTCCCGCCGCATCGCCGGGAACCGGGTTCGAGGTTGACCATGTTTACAGCTCACCAAGAGAAGACTTTGGTGCATTTTGCCAAGGGAATGCTCACCAAGAGAAGATGTTAAGGCGCCGCTGAACAAGTGGAGTTTTGATTTATTGTGAGTGATTTCCTATTCTGACACATGTGTTTTCCCCATTGGCTAAATCGCAGTGGTCGATTTCCTCTATCAGGGAACCTCGAGGTTTAAGTCTTGCAAAGACGAAACTGGAAGCCTGTTGGTGTTTCCTTTGAGACTCAAAAGGTCCAGCTGGGTAATGCTGGGTATGTCAAAATTGAGATTCGGACCTTGCAACTTGCGGTTTGTCTTGTTTTTGTTCTTTTGAACCAAGGTGAAGCGGGTACTGAGCCTCAAAACAACACATACCCAGTTGCCCCGCAGGAAACCAGAGAACACCGCGATGAATGCGGCAAAAGGCTGTGTAATCTAGTGTCCAACATTTGTTTTCGCTGCGAGTTACCCTTGAGAAAGTCATCCACAACACGGGAACCCTCATGACACAAGATACTTCCAAAGTTTACTTGTGGGACTCAGACGAAGTCAACCAGTGGGGTTTGAGTACTTTGGGAAACACCCAGCGAAGCTTTGCCTCAGGAAAAGATACAATAATGCTTTCCAAAGTAGCCAATCTGCCACTGTTTGGGCTTGTTTTTTTTCCGTTTTGCTTTTAACGCCTTTCAAAAAGGTCCTCATGAATGTCACACCCTCGTTTCCAATGGCTCGGGTCGGAACCTGGTGTTGATGTTGCTCTCCAGGGGCCACAAGCACAAACAAGAAGAGCTTGGGTATCCTCTCAGGTCTTCGAACCATAAGAACCATAGATTGCACTTGGTGGATACAGAGTCATCATTTCATCAGCTGAGCCGCTGGATTTGGAACGTATGCAGGAACTGATATTTACCCTGAAGGTGTGCTTCGTGCCCTTTTGCTGCTCTAACAAAAAAGCCTCGCCTTTTGGGCCAGTTTGACAGTTTCCTTTCTGGAGCCCTTTGGTTCGCAAAATGGACCTGCTGGTTGCCCATTTGCCTTTGTCACCATGGGAATCCCGCTTTGCTACCCCAGGGATGGGAATCCCACTTGAATATCACAGATTTTGCGGGTTGTTTCCCACAAAGGCTCCCGGAGCGCACGAGTATGTCTTGACTGCGCGCCGCGCAGTCTGCCCTGGAGTATCTCCATCGTCAGAAGGTGGTGCACCGCGACATCAAGGCCCTGAGCTGCCCTTGGGGGTGCTGGGGATTGTCGGATTGGCGGGAGGAGCCCTGCAGGCACTGGCTGACTCGTTGGGCAGGAGTTTTTTTTCTTTTTTGAGGCTTTCGGGCTGGGGAGTGCTTGTGTGGCGATCGGCTCAAGGAAAGCATGCCATGTGCCAAACAAAAAACTGTGGCAGGCACGTTGCACCTCAGGCAGCCATGCGCAGAACTTGCAAGACTGGGAAATTGATATAGACGATCTGGCCGTAGTGAGCAGTGTACTCCAAGTCCCGAACAAATACTCATACTTGCCTGGAAACACCTTAAGCAGCTCTAGTCACCCGAGAGCTTTGCCAGTTTCCTTGCTATCACCTGCAAGCTATGGCGAATGCTGAGCAGCGGTCCAGATCTCAGATACCATTTGGACTCCAGAGTCTGTGCTATCATTGGGTGGCGCTATCCAAAATAGAACGAACTGGCAAGATATGTCAGATGTTGTTTGTTGCAAGATGAGAGCAGCCTGCGCATAAGAGGTAGTATGAAATCGGTGACGTGGTATCATCAACATCACCATTACCATCACCGTCATCATTGTCACCACCACCACCACCACCACCACCACCACCACCACCACCACCACCACCACCACCACCACCACCACCACCACCACCACCACCATCTTTATTATCAATTACCACCACCACCATCTTTATTATCAATTGCCACCACCACCACCAGCACCACCACCACCACCTCCGCCGTCGTCGTCGTCGTCGTTGTCCTCCTCCTCATCATCGTCCCACGCACCTGCAAGAGCAGTCAATGGCAAAGCGTAGCACTGCACAGGCTGCAGCGTTGCTGAGGCGTGCCCTTGCCGCCGCTGCTGCTGAGAAGCGGAAAGGAGGCCGCAAGCGCGCGGGACCCACCACCAGCAGTGGGTTCTTTGGCCATCACTTGTGGTTCTTTGGGATTGCTGGGGCTGGTGGGCCTCTCGGGAAACTTTCGGACCAATATCTTTCAACTCAAATGCATTCCCCTTGTTCCCCCATTTAGTCGGGGGTGATCGCAGGGGAGAAATCGCACGGAAGGAGGGCATGCTGCAATGCTGCAAAGCCACCATAATTCTGAAGCAGGCGGAAGGGGAGAGCAAGATGAGGCCAATGCAACACCAATGCTCACTTTGTTGACTTGGCTATGGGTCAAAAATGCGTACCCAAACTGGAACCATGGTAAATGGAACCAAAGACTAAACACTGCGGTCCCCTGGTGGTTTTATTTTGATCCATACTTGTTGACTTGGCAAACTTGAAACCTTCTGGCAGGTCTCTTTATCATTCTGGTCAAGTTCAACCGTGTTTTGCCTAGTCGACTCAACAGGTCATAGCTTGAAACCGGTTCTGCCTGAAGCTCCTTGCAGGCCTGCCGATCGCAGAGGAAGCCCCCAAGCGACTTGGCAAAGCTGAAGTGCAACGCGATGCTCGACATGCTGCGGTTTCCCGAGTTACTCTCCTTTTTCAAGATTCGGACCCCAAAAAAATGGTGGGTTGTTCTTTGGTTTCCCTTGAACACCATCAACAAATAGGTGCCCTCAAAAATGCAGAAAGGGACGCTATAGGGGCCCCTGTTTTACAGCTGTTTCTGAAAACGCGGTGATTTCAGACATGTGACGCAAATTTATCAGAATTGAGGTTTGTTCCTCCATTTGATAACTCCATTTGTCTTGTTTGTCCTTATTAGATAACAAGAGCAGGTCAAAATTGTGCTTATCTTGGGTCGCAAAGCCATGAGTTTGAAATGGGCGCAGTTTCGAGGGTTTCTGGAGATGGGAGGGGGGGGGGGGGGGGGGGGGGGGGGGGGGGGGGGGGGGGGGTTGGCAAAAAAAAAAAAAAAACATTGTTTTTTTTTTGCCGCCCCCCCTCCCCTCCTTTGGTTTTTTTTTGCCGACCCCCCCCCCCCAGGACCCCCCCCCAAGACAAAGACGCATGTCCCCAGGATTAGAAGTGGTTGCTAGAAGCCCTGTTAGCTACAAAAACTCTGTAACTAGCACCGACATTGATTGCTGCTTTGCCTTCACCTTTAGTCAGCAAACACCTGTAGCAACAAAGGGCTTGGTTGCACTGAGGCTATAGTTCTAGCACAACACAGTTTATGCATTTCGCTTGTGGGCCCAGTTGCGTGTAGTATTCTCATGGCTTGTCTTGTGAATCACACTCCCGAAGGTAATTCAGTTGGGGAGGACAGGATAGAATATTTCTGTGTACCTGGCTTTGACATACAGCCTTGTGTGTCAAGCATTATGCCAATGTGCAGCAGCGTCATCATGCTGCTAGCTTGCTATGGGTAACATGGAGGCTTTAGCTGGCACTAGACATGGATACCTCGGTTCTGTGAAATCGGTGTTTTTCCACCAAAAAGCCTTGTTTTTCTCATGTGGTGCAGAGCATTCCTGTGTTCCATTGTTTCTTGTTTTTTTGCTTTTTAAAAAAAACATATGGTTTTGTTGACCATGAGATCTACTTATCAGAAGTTGTGTTGATGACCTGTGGAAGGTGCAAGTACAATAAGTTATTCTCTTACATCCTCTCATGCCAACTGTTGCATGCCGCCAGTAAACATAGGAGCTCGACAACCTATCCCTGGTGAGGTAGAAATTAATGTTGCCCACTTGCAGGTGGTCTGCCTCACCACTCACATTTCATGATCTAATGGCAATATGACTAGTGATCTGCACGTAATTCAGCATATCAAGGGAAGAGAACACCCGATATGAGCTACCAGCAATCCATGGATGGAAAGGTTCAATCCTCAAGTCTGGTATATGGGAAGTGCATTTCTTTCACAATCACCACTTGCAGAGGCCTTCATGGAAATCCAAGATTCTCGTTCCAGCAAATGTTTCTGATGCAGGTGACCTATGGTTGGTTGAGTCATTCAGGTAGGAACCTCGGGCCCCTGAGTCCCACATGATGGGGGGGGTGCATCAAGATCTGTCAACCAGGGGTGGAGCCACTCATCCGGCTAGTCTGTGAACTGGGATGATAAAAGTATTCTTACCCCAGAAACTTGAAAAGGCAAGCCCACAATCCAATTGAGAAGCCATGCCACAAGTAGTTGCAATGAATGCATTTCCAGGTAATGCCACTTTTGGTGGAAGTACCGCTACATGGCTTTTAATGTTGGCAAGTCATTGGGCTCTCTGATTCTTAATTGTTTGGGGTGACAAGATCTGACACTTCTGAAGACCTTACACAGGTCAAATTAAGCACAGATGCAGCAGAATGGATTCACATTACTTTTTTCGGCGGGCTCAGCTATAAAAAAGCAGAAAAACAGCTGAAAACGCTGTAAAACCAGGGCCCACAGGGTGTCCCACTCTCCAAAAATGAGCCCCACAAAATGTGGATGGGTCAGATTTCTTCCACCAGGAACTGGACCGCAGGGTTTAGTCTTTGGTTTCCATTTTGCTGGGTTCCATTGTGGGCACCTATCTTTGACCCATACCGAGTGCTGCAAAGCCAATCAACCTTTTGACCTTTGAGTGTCCTCCTCCAAACTGGGCGACTGAGTTAAGTGAGAATCAAGCCGAGAAACGGGCCTGCCACCCAGGGACCCTCGCGCCTCCGAGCTGATAGAAGTCTTCGACCGGGCACGCTCGCCTTTTTTTCACGCGCCGGGGATGGGGGGAGACGAGACTGCCAGGAGCTTGGCGGCCTTGAGTCAGGAATAAGTTTTTACAAGGGTGAGGATAACCATGTATAGTGGTGTGGTTGCATCTTGTGGTAGGTGCTGAGAAGGAGCGGGTTTGAGGCCTTGCTCGGAGCGCAAGATTGGGCAATTTGGAGCATGTAAAATGGCGGTATGTCCAAAACTTAGGGGCTTTAGAAGGTACTTCAAGTGAACAATGAAGCCAACAAGTTCAAGCAATCAGGAAGCAGACATGGTTATGGCCACAGATCCGGGATGCGTGCCAGAGATTTTCCTCGAGGTATGCTGTGGACAGGGCGGATAGAAACCAAGCAAACTGAATTTCTTGCCTTTTGTTCTTGATCAGCAGAGGAAGGTCAGGCCCGCTACAGGGGTACCCTTGTTGTGAACCTCTGTAGGCGGCTTGCATGGGGTTTTTCCCTCTGGAGATTCCTCTAAAGTAGGCGATTCCTCCTTTGTCAAGTTCCACGTTCATCGCCAGGGGAGCAGATGATTCGTCTCTGGTTCTGATTGCTACGGTGATAAAGTCGGGTGGCACGCTGAAGACGAACTGAGCAAAGCGCTGCGATCAACACTGGGATGATAGCTCGCGATCTGTTTCCCTGTTCACAATTGTGTTCCATTCGGCCATTTGCCTGACGGGATTTCTGTGCCTTTTTCCAACGAGCTCGCCTAGGAGGTAAAACAAACTCACCCATCATGAAGTTGCTTCTCGGGGGGGGGGGGGTTTGATTCTGATTGTTCTATGCTGTTCCGTAGAAACAAAGATACTCGGGTTCTCAGACCAGCTCAAAAATAGAAAGAGGCAAATATGTTGGGTTCTAATTCACCTACAAGAGGGTCAAGCCCTTAGCATTGCCAGGCTTACCTGTTTTAACAAGGAACACCTCGCCTGGTTCCCATTCGGTCTAGAGTGGCCTGGGGAAGTACACTCCAAGTTTCCGACCGCATTTGGTTCCCTGGCATCTGAGCGTCAAAGAAAGCAAGGCAGGGGGTGCCCTTCAAACGAACACCAAAGGCTGAACCTCAAAGAACCAAACCAATTATGTGATGTGTCCCTTCTCGACTTGGCAATTCCCAGCCGTCCCCTTAGAGTTGTTTTTCGCATTTTAGCTGGTTCAGTGGGGTTTCCTTTAGCTGTCCCGGTGGGTATTTAGGCTTTCAGTTGGTTTAGTGGGGTTGTCCGTTTACACCCACTGAAAGTTAAGGTTGCTCCCCGCAGGTTTTTAGGCTTTTAGTTGGTTTAGTGGGAGTTTCCCTTCAAACCAACAAAACGTTAGTCACTTTTCACAGGAAATCTGACAGCCCGAGCAGAGCCCGCCCAGTCGCCAGGCACACGCGCAAGCCGTGGCCCGGCACAAGAACACGGGAGAGGATGCACATCATGCCGGCCCTGCTGGTTTGGGAAGCGCATGTCGGGGGCTCGTCTTTTTTTTTGAGGCTGGGTGCTCGGGAATGTGGGAATGAACTATTGGGGATTCCCTGAAAGGAAACCACCAGCAAGTTTTTGAGGGTACCCGTTTTGTCTTGAATGAATGATGCCTAAATTATATCAGTCTGAGGTGATTGGTACCCAGCAAATGGCAGTTTTCCTTTCCATTGACCTTTAACCCAAGCTAGATCCAAGGGCACCCCCAAGAGAATACACTGGTATGTCCAGCGTGTTACCCACAGGACGACCCGTGTTTAGGTTCCAACAAATTTGGTCTAGGATGCAATTTTGTGCAAGCCATCGGACCCGTTTATTGGAGCTCGTTTCGGGTCTGGTTGACTTCCACCCGCAAAAGTTCCCCACAGCCACAAACACGACACCTGCTTGGACCATTTGCCTCAAGTTCCAAAGCTGAGAGGATACAAAGTTGGTCATGTTTAACTCATTTCTCTCTTCGATGTTCGGATGCACTTCGGATTCCGCTGAAAAAGGCCATATATGTGAATATATATATGTATATATATATATATGTGTATATGTTTATACACATATGCACATATATATATATATATATACATATATATATATATACATACATACACATATATTTTAACGCCTCCGGCTCAGGCCGCCGACATTACAGGCCTGCTTTCTTATTTGCGTCCCTTTGGAATTGTCCCCTTGCCCCTTTCCCCTCTGAGATGTTTGCCCCCCTTTCTTTGTTGAGATCCATTCCCCCTTTCCGCCCTAAGGCCTTTTCTCCCTCTGATGTTTTTTCCTTTTCCTCCCTAAGATGTTTTCCCCCCTCTCCCTGTTGAGATCCTTTCCCCCCTTTCCCCCCTAAGGCCTTTTCCCCCCTGAGATCTTCTCCCTTTTCCTCCCTTTCCCCCACTTTCCCCCCTAAGGCCTTTTCCTCCCTGGGATCTTTTTCCTTTCCTCCCTGAGATCTTTCCCCCCCTTTCCCTGTTGAGATCCTTTCCCCCCTTTCCCCCCTACGGCCTTTCCCCCCGCTGAGATCTTCTCCCTATTCCTCCTTAAGATCCTTTGCCCCCTTTCCCTGTTGAGATCCTTTCCCCGCTTCCCTTTAAGGCCTTTCCAGATCTTCTCCCTTTTCCTTCCTAAGATTGTTTCCCCCCTTTCCCTGTTGAGATCCTTCCCACCCTTTCCCCCCTCAGGCCGTTCCCCCCCTGAGAGCTTCTCCCTTTTCCTTTCTTAGATCTTTCCCCCCTTTCCCTGTTGGCCTTTTTTCCCCCAGATCTTCTCCCTTTCCTCCGTAAGATCTTTTCCACCCCTTTCCCTGCTCAGATCCTTTCCCCCCTTTCCCCCCTAAGGCTCAGGCCTTTCCCCCCCTGAGAGCTTCTCCCTTTTCCTTTGTAAGATCTTTTGCCACCTTTCCCTGTTGAGATCCATTCCCCCTTTCCCCCCTAAGGCCCTTTCTCCCTCTGAGTTTTTCCCTTTTCCTCCCTACGATGTTTTCCCCCCTCTCCCTGTTGAGATCCTTTCCCTCCTTTCCCCCCTAAGGCCTTTTTTTCCCCCCGCGATCTTCCCCCTTTTCCTTCCTAAGATCTTTTCCCCCCTTTCCTTGTTGAGATCCTTTCCCGCCCTTTCCCCCCTAAGGCGTTTTCCCCCCCAAGATCTTCTCCCTTTTCCTCCCTAAGATCCTTTGCCCCCTTTCCTTGGTGAGATCCTTTCCCCCCCCTTTCCCCCCTAAGGCCTTTCCCCCCCTGAGATCTTCTCCCTTGTCCTCCCCAAGATCTTTTCCCTTGGTTGAGATCCTTTCCCCCTTTCCCCCCAAGATCTTCTCCCTTTTCCTCCCTAGGATCTTCTCCCACCTTTCCCTGTTGAGCTCCTTTCCCCCTTTTCCCCCTAAGGCCTTTTCAGATCTTCTCCCTTTTCCTCCCGAAGATCCTTTGCCCCCTTTCCCTGTTGAGATCCTTTCCCTCCTTTCCTTCCTAAGGCCTTTCCCCCCGCTGAGATCTTCTCCCTACTCCTCCTTAAGATCCTTTGCCTCCTTTCCCCGTTGAGATCCTTTCCCTTCTTCCCTTTAAGGCCTTTCCAGATCTGTTCCCTTTTCCTTCCTAAGATCGTTTCCCCCCTTTCCCTGTTGAGATCCTTCCCACCCTTTCCCGCCTAAGGCCTTTCCCCCCTGAGAGCTTCTCCCTTTTCCTTCCTTAGATCTTTGCCCCCTTTCCCTGTTGGCCTTTTTTCCCCCAGATCTTCTCCCTTTCCTCCCTAAGATCTTTTCCACCCCTTCCCTGTTGAGATCATTTCTCCCCTTTCCCCTCTAAGGCCCTTGTCCCCAGATCTTCTCCCTTCTTTCCCCCCCCCCCTTTCCCTGCTGAGATCCCTTTCCCCCTTTCCCCCCTAAGGCCTTTCTTTCTTCGAGAGTTTTTCTTTTTTTTTCCGAAGATCTTGTCCCCCCTTTCCCTGTTAGGCTTTCCCCCCTAAGTCCTTTTCTCCCAGATCTTCTCCCTTTCCTTCCTAAGATCTTCCCCCCCCTTTCCTTCCTAAGATTGTGTCCCCCCTTTCCCTGTTGAGATCCTTCCCACCTTCCTTAGATTTTTCCCCTCTCTTTTTTCTGCCAGATCTTCTCCCTTTCCTCCCTAAGATCTTTTCCACCCCCTTCCCTGTTGAGATCATGCCCCTTTCCCCCCTAAGGCCTTTGTTCCTCCCTAAGATCTTTCCCCCCCTTTCCCTGCTCAGATCCTTTCCCCCCTTTCCCCCCTAAGGCCTTTCCCCCCCTGACATCTTCTCCCTTTTCCTCCCTCCCCCCTCACCCTGTTGAGATCCTTTCCCTCCTTTCCCCCCTAAGGCCTTTTTTCCCCCTGCGATCTTCCCCCTTTTCCTTCCTAAGATCTTTTCCCCCCTTTCCTTGTTGAGATCCTTTCCCGCACTTTCCCCCCTAAGGCGTTTTCCCCCCCAAGATCTTCTCCCTTTTCCTCCCTAAGCTCCTTTGCCCCCTGTCCCTGTTGAGATCCTTTCCCCCCTTTCCCCCCTAAGGCACCTGTTCCAGGTCTTCTCCCTTTTCCTTCCTTGATTGTTTCCCCCCTTTCCCTGTTGAGGAGTCCTTTCCCCCCTTTCCTCCCAAGCCTTTCCCCCCTGAGAAGCTTCACCCTTTTCCTTCCTAAGATCTTTCCCCCCTTTCCCTGTTTGGCCTTTTTTCCCCAAGATCTTCTCATTCCTCCCTATGATCTTTTCACCCCTTTCCCTGTTGAGATCATTTCTCCCTTTCCCTTCCCTCCCTAAGTCTTTTCCCCCAGTTCCCTGTTGAGATCATTTATTTCCCCCCTTTTCCTTCTAAGGCCTTTTCCCACCCTCAGTTCTTCTCCCTTTTCCTCCCAAAGATCTTTCCCCCCCTTTCCTCCCTAAGTCCTTTTCCATTGAGGAACTGAATCCCCTTTTCCCCCCCTTAAGATCTTTTTGCCCCTTCTTTCCTGTTGAGATCCTTTCCCCCTTTCCCCCCTAAGGCATTTTTTTCCCCCCTGAGCAACATCCCCCGCATCACTTGCATCATCCGCATCCTTGGCAGGCGCTGATGCGGATGATGCAGGTGATGCTGGCGATGTTCCGCTGGAGCTGCTAAGGATGCGAAAGCGGACCCGGGGGGAATCGAACACCCCAATGTTTTTGACAATCTGAGTTGCGCAAGCCTGCGCAATGAACAGATTTAGTGAAGAGTCTTCGAATCACCGCGTGGTACGTGGACCCCCCCCCCCCCCCCCCCCCCCCCCCGGCAATAGTAGGGGAGGGGTAACAGGTAAAGAGACACGCCGTCTGTTGTCGGCGGATATTTGCCGGCATCACCGTTCAGCAGCCAAGTCCACGTGTTTTGTGGGATACCGCCTCATGTCCAAAGCCCGGAAGGTCATTCTCTATTGGAGGGTACCCGCCAATTTGGAGGCTTGGTCAAAGTTATCAGTCTGTGGTCCATTTGAGAGGTTTGGACACGGGGGACTCTCAGGGACTCAAAACCTGTCCAAGTTCTTGTTTGGACCTTCAATTGGATGTTGGTTGGAATTCACCAGTCAACCGACCCCTGCCACTCGGCAGTTTGACGGTCGCTACATTCCCCTTGAAGCTTGATGTTTAAACATCATGGGGGAACCAATAAACAAAAACTCCTTTCCTCGGTTGACAGGACGGTCATTCACTTGTTTGGTACTAGTAAGTGCAGCTTCGTGACATAGACTAAGGCGTTTCATCAGGTGGTGTCGCCACGGTCATCTGTCGCGTTCTATACTCGTAGTTTTGTCACCCCCTCTCCGGGTTACTCTTCTAGGATACTTGAATGAGCAAAGCATCCGGCGGTGGATGCTTAGGTAGTTTTCACACCACCGGGCAACACGCACAGCCCGCAATGCCCGGGGACGAAACGGAGAAAAGGAGTTCTGACCATGGCACACATGGCTGTGGCTCAAACAAATGTACCAGAATGGCACCTTGGTAAATGGAACCAACACTTGCGTATCTCTGGCTCTTTAATTTGTGGATGGACGAATTCCTGCACCACCTAACAAGCCCTGCAATGATGATTCCCCTGCAATTTCCCACAAACAATGGTTTCAACCATGGTTTCATTTCGTGGTGCGATTTCTGGATTTCGCAACCATCCACAGATATCCCCGTTCCGCACAGCAATCCTTCATTTCAGCCAATGGATTTTCAAACCATGGTTTCATTACGTGGTGCGAAGGGCCTGCGCAACCACAGTATGACAAGTCCAGAGAACTCTCCTCCGGATCTCGGTTTTCGGTCCGCCAGTCCGCCAGGCGCCTGCCCTGCGGAAGGCCAAGCGCGCTGTGCAGGAGAGCCTGGCGCGGGGAGGCGGGATCAGCGAACTGACCTGTTGAGTTGGGTACACCTCCCCACCGCCCCCCCAAAGAAAAAAAAGGAAAAAGGAAGGGCACCCTAAAGACACCCCCATGAACTTGTCTGAAAATTGGCAACTGCTCCCAAGTGGTCAGTTTCCTTTGGCCTAAGCCAGCCCAAAACTAGGCACCCTCAAAAAAGCCCCCCCCCCCCCAGTGAACAAAATCTTCAATATATGCAACTGTGTTCGCCGTTTCCTTGGTGGATGGTTTGCCGAAGGTAAGCTAGAATGAGTGGTTAACACACTAACATTCGGGCTGCGTGTCAGGGTTCACACATTGCTTCATACATTTTGCCTCTGATGGGGCTTTGGTTTTGCTACACAACCCGTGGGTGCGGGGTGCCCAATTTTGCCATACTTGGCTGTATTGACAGTTCCTTGGTTGATTTATAGGGGAGCGTCCTTTTTTAGTGGGAATCCTTCATTTGTGTGGTGTGAGTGGGATGAGTTTGCAAACCCAGGGCTCATGATGAGCAAGCCAAAAGGCTGGGCTGGTTGATTCCTTGGGCTTCCCAGGGACCAGGATTTGGCTGGTTTGACTTTTGTTCAGGCTCTGTACCTTCTTTTTTGGGTGGTTCTACCAAACGGAAATTCGAAAGACACCATGTTTCTGGCCCGAAACCTCAAGAGACGTGCCATCCATGTTGGCGCTTTGCTTCAGGGCCTTTGGCACCTGAAGCGAGGTTGGATCCAGATCCCATTGCCCATCTGGTAGACACGGCGAATTTCCCCAATCTTCGTGCTTTTTTTTGTGAAACCCCGGAGCTTCCGAGCCGCAAAACCCGTTTCGGGTTGCCACCAAAAGTGGCGATCGGTTCAATGGAAACCACCAGTGAATTAATCAGAACTGGTTTGTCTGCATTTTTAGAAGGGACTGGTTGCTCGGCAGAGGGTCTTCCTAGCAGCCCCGCTTCGCCAAGCCTTCCCCGGCAGACAACCTGACGCTGTCGTCCCTGCACACACTGAAGGGCGTTGGGCCTATGGCCCAGAGGCTTGCGAGTTTGGCAACTGACTTTCTGGGAGTGGGATCTTCAAAGTGAGAAAGTAGTGACCCACACATGGCCCAGCTAGGATAACCCAGTTCTGCGTTTCGTTTTTGGTCGAACTGTGCCTTGCTTGGTGGGTTTGGTCCGATGGAATTGAAGCCATGAGATCTGTTGCATGTTGACGTACCTGGCGGAGCTTGATGGGGTATTCCTGCCAGTGAAGAATGCTTCACCCCGCTGGGGTTTGTAGCTCCCGAGTTTCCGTTCACACGTGCTGAAGAAGGTTTTTCCTCTGACAGTGTTTGCCTCGCCGTGTGGCCACAACTTCCGGGAATTGGGGGAAGTGGTATTTTGGTTGCCTGCCCTGAAAGGCAAAGGGCGGGCCAAAGGTGTCAGTTGGAGGGGTCGCTGGGTGGTTGCAAGGAGTCATGCTGTTCAAGAAAGAAGTCGCGCAAACCCTATCGGATTCCGAGTTGACAAATTGACAATCATCCGAAAGGAACTGATTGGTGTGTGTGTGTGTGTCTTTTTGTTGCCCCCAAAATGGATCTCGTTGTTTTCCTTTTGGGTTCCTTTTCCACCTAAAAGGGGCATCCCCCCAAAAAAATGACGAGCCAGCCATGTCTTAGAGCCCAGGTTACTCAAAGAACCCCACTGGGATTGCTCAGGCACTGGGTGGTCACCCAGTTGCGCGAGCACCTGGAAGGCGTTGGCTACGGCCAGAGGTGGCCATGTGGATGGCTCGTCTTTTTGGGAGTTGGTACCCCCCATGTTTGGTGGGTTTAAAGGCCAACCAACACGAAAGCCGATATCCAAGCCCGAAAACAAAGACGGGCCACCCATGTGTTCCTGTTTCTGACCCCCAATTTTTCAGTAGGCTCGCCTTCTTAATGAACCAGGCAAAGGATGCCCTTGTTTCCCAGGGCCAGCGGAGCTCTGGAATGACCCCGCTGTCACTGGAATCGCCATCCTCGAATTAAAGTACAAGGGTGGTGCACATCCATCAAAGACCTGGCTTAAACACTTCTCATTGCTTCCAATGGTTGATACAAGGAACATCGTGTACACCAAGATAGTGTTTTATTTCAGCGGTGACAATGCACTAGATCTCACAATTGTATCATATGCATGTGATCAGCCTCCTTATGGCGGTCCCCCCAAATATAGACACCCTCCTCCTCCAGTTTATGAGTGGGAAATTAATCGGGCACAGTCTCAGGGGGTTCTCAGATTTGTTGCATGCTACGTTCAGCATATATTCCTTTGCTGTGCTCGCAACTGGGCGGGCCCAAAGTGGATGGACGAACATAGCGCCCTTTTTGGAGCGTGCCTCGTTTAAAGGAGAGGTCAGGACATGATATCGGCGTGTACAAACACGGAGTGTTTGCTTCTCACTGTTTAGATTTACTATATTACAGCTAGCGTATATATTATAGTATTATACACACAATACAAATGCATAAAACATACAATTCAATAGTCTTACCATATATATATATATATATACACATATGTGAGCCCATGGCGATGTTTGGCCCAAGGGTGGTTCTGCCATTCCCGCAGTTCGTGCACTCCCAAATTTTACGGAACTTCACGAGCCAGGCGCCGATCGCCCCAAAGCGCCGCCGAGCAAGCGGGCGCGACAGGCCGGGGTGGGGGGGAACAACGGGTGCGTCTCAAGAGAAAGGACCCTGCAATGGGCTTTTCATGGACGAGCTCAAGTGTCCTCACCCTCTTTGATCATGGGGGATATGGGATTGACTCGGAATCGGACCCTCCAACCAGGTGAGGTTCCTTTTGATTTTCCTTTAAAACCAGCCAAAAGGAGGTTTTTCAAGAAAGACACACACCCAGTATGTTTCAGTTTTCTCAAAGGGCAACCAAGAGGTGCCGGATAACGATGAATCAGTGGATAGGTAATGCAAAACAATTGAGTTTTTCAAAGTTCTAGCAAGGAGACTAGCGCTGATTTGACCCTTGAGAGTTGGCTGGAGGGGGCTGAGCTTAGAGCTTGCTTCAGTATGCTTTCTGGGCTGTAAAGGTTCAAGCTTCTATTGGCCAGTGAGCAGACAGCCTTTGCCCCAAGCATGCCAAGCTCCAAATATTGGTGGGTTTCTTTGGAGTTGGTACACCCTTTGCCCTGGCTCTAAAGGAAAACCCAAAGGGACAACCACCAATTGGTGTGCGTGTGTGTGTGTGTGTGTGTGTGTGTGTGTGTGTGTGTGTGTGTGTGTGTGTGTGTGTGTGTGTGTGTGTGTGTGTGTGTGTGTGTGTGTGTGTGTGTGTGTGTGTGTGTGTGTGTGTGTGTGTGTGTGTGTGTGTCTGTGTCTGTGTCTGTGTCTGTGTCTGTGTCTGTGTCTGTGTCTGTGTCTGTGTCTGTGTCTGTGTCTGTGTCTGTGTCTGTGTCTGTGTCTGTGTCTGTGTCTGTGTCTGTGTCTGTGTCTGTGTCTGTGTCTGTGTCTGTGTCTGTGTCTGTGTCTGTGTCTGTGTCTGTGTCTGTGTCTGTGTCTGTGTGTCTGTGTCTGTGTCTGTGTCTGTGTCTGTGTCTGTGTCTGTGTCTGTGTCTGTGTCTGTGTCTGTGTCTGTGTCTGTGTCTGTGTCTGTGTCTGTGTCTGTGTCTGTGTCTGTGTCTGTGTCTGTGTCTGTGTCTGTGTCTGTGTCTGTGTCTGTGTCTGTGTCTGTGTCTGTGTCTGTGTCTGTGTCTGTGTCTGTGTCTGTGTCTGTGTCTGTGTCTGTGTCTGTGTCTGTGTCTGTGTCTGTGTCTGTGTCTGTGTCTGTGTCTGTGTGTCTGTGTGTGTGTGTCTCTGTGTCTCTGTTTTGTGTCTCTGTGTGTCTCTGTGTCTCTGTGTCTCTGTGTGTGTGTGTGTCTCTGTGCTTTTGTGTCTCTGTTTTGTGTCTCTGTGTGTTTGTGGTCTCTGTGTGTTTGTGCGTCTCCGTGTGTCTCTGTGTCTCTCTGTGTGTCTCTTTGTGTCTCTCTGTGTTTGTTTGCGTCTCTCTGTGTCTCTCTGTGCGTCTCTGTGTGTGTGTCTGTGTCTCTCTGTGCCTGTCTCTGTGTCTCTCTGCGTGTCTCTCTGTGTCTCTCGGTCTCTCTCTGTGTCTCTCTCTCTGTGACTTTTTGTGTGTCTCTCTCTGTGTCTCTCTTTGTGTCTCTCTCTGTGTCTCTCTTTGTGTCTCTCTTTGTGTCTGTGTCTCTACCCAAAAGAAGAATTAAGATGATGCAATATAATAAAATGCGTTTATTCTTAGTGTTTCTTATCTCCATGTAAATCCTAACAATAAAAGAGGAGATGATTCCTAACACAAATTGATTATGGAAAAGCTATTTTACTTCCTCAACATCTGAATCTTCACTGTAGGACCTATCCCAATATCTACCAACCAAGTAATTCCTAAGAAGAATGGAGTTAGAGAAAGAAGAATTCACTTTATCCCAGATCCAGATGCTCTGTGTCTGCGTGTCTGTGTCTCTGTGTCTCTGTGTCTCTGTGTCCCTGTGTCCCTGTGTCTCTGTGTCTGTGTGTCTGTGTCTCTCTGTGTGTCTGTGTGTGTGTGTGTCCGTGTGTCTGTGTTCATGTGTCGCTGCGGTTGCAAGTGTGGGTGAGGCTTTGGGTGCGGGAGCGGGCCCGTATTGGTGCGCGTATGGGGGCGGGCTTGCGTTTGTGCATGTGTTTGTGTGTGTGTGTGTGTATGTGTGGTTGTCTTTGTGTTTGCACCCGATACAGTGGGTTTCGATGTACGGATTGACTAGCGCTGCTTGGGCCTGTCGTGTCCACAAAATGAGGGGGGCTTTGTTGCTCTCCCTATGAAACACACCCAAAAAAAGAGCTTCTTTGTGGAACAGAGCAACTTCTCTTGATGGTTTAGCTACCAGTTTGCTGGCAGGACCCCTGACTTCGCACTTTGTCATAGAATGTTCGAGGGTTTTTTTTAGGCACGAGTATTGACTGTGTGAGAAGTCTATTTGCAATTTACCCAGGTTTTCCGAGTCCAGGGGTCCACGGTTAGGGACAAGTGATCAAGATTCAACCTGAGTTGGGCGCTTCTCAATTTTTTGAGGACCCCTTGAAATGTGTGTGGGTGGGGTCCTTTTGGCTTCCCTTGAATTCTCATCCACCATTTCCCTTCTAACTTTACTTTGATCAGAAGTTGAACAGTAGTCTGCATCAAACGATGACCACCTAATGGGAACCCCGCATCGATCAGAGTCGTGGGAGGAGTAGCCGAGCGAAGATACGAGAGATGAAATTTAGCAAATGACTTCCATATGTAATAGGGTGATGAATCACCACAGGGGTTTGTCAATCCTGGGTTCACACTGCTCAACCAAGGGGTTCCCAAAACCATATGCTTTGCGATTCATGACAGATCGGCTTAATTACCCTGATGATCCGCACATGTGAGCCATTCCATGACAGGCATTTGCCTTTGCTCGCTCACCTGTTCGGTTCAACTGGTCCAGCTCGCTAGGCCCCAAAGGTCAGTTTGCCGGAGGGTTGACCAGACACCCGCCGGCACTCTTCAGGATTGACCTTGATGGTGCCGCTAGCATATCTCACACGCGCGACACGGTGTTTCTACAGTTGCACCTTTGTTCCCTGTTTGTTCGGTCTCAGCCTTAAAATCGGAGATGAGCTTATTATTACCTTATCATGGTGGAGTTTTGCAATGCAACACGTACCGTATTTCTTGTGTTGCCCATACCCCTTCCAGGATGTACTAAACATCCATTTTGCGCAGTGTGTGTTGGTGTCCTTCCTGGCACATTCGTCGGTCAACATATGGATCGAACAAAGCAACCGGAATCAGCGAAGAAAGCTCGTATCCCGGCAGCGGCCAAACTGGATTGGCCATGAAAGGTCCTTGCCGATGCTTTTGGGAGGTGATCAAAGCTTTGGACAATCAATTCTAAAGCGTACAGCCCAATCAAGGACCTCAACTGGTGGAATGTGGGGTCCCTTTTTGGGACCAATCCTTTGGGGTCGTGTATAGCCATCCTTGGGGGGCTTCTAACAGCACTTAAATCAGAGCGCAGCGCGTGGCAGAGTGCATCCCGGCTTTGGCAACTCAGGATTGTCACCTTTGCAAACTGCAGCAGCACTCCGGTGTCTATGTCGTTTCCGCCCTTTGGATGCGACCATCTGCGCAAGCGAGTGACAGGTGAGCCCAAATTGGGAGAATCCCCACTGCTCCACACCAAACAGGGCCCGATCAAAGAAGGCTCAGTTTGGGACAACCAAGCCGAGAGGGTGGGGTTAAGTCGCTTGGGTTGACAGGGCTCCTTAAAAGATACATTTTGCAGCCAGTTGAAACATGGCCTTTTCCAGCAAAAGAAGGCGAAGCCACCATTTACAAGGCAATGTTCAGGTGAGGCTTGTTGATAAGACGACTGGCGCTTTGCTTTGCGGATATCGTAGCGAGCCTTCACTCCACAGCATGCGCCTTTTTGAGCCAAACGAAGCTATTTTTCATGTTGCGTATCACCTGTTTCGGCTTGGTCCTCCGGTTTTCTAGCTTCATTTCATTTTTTTCATTCAGGCCCTCGCGAACAGAGCCTCAAACGGTTATCAACATCCTGGCAAATTCCATTGTTGAAAATAATGATGGGCAACAGTAATGGGAAATCAGTGCTACTCTACCCAACCCTTGGTCCGCCCAAACCCCGCCGGGACCGGGGACTGTCCAGAGCTTGCGTGCTTTGAGGTTTCAGCACGCCTGTTTGCTCAGTGGACTCTGTCCGTGACCAGTTCGAAGGTTTCGCAACATTCGTTTTGGGGGTTGTTGTCCCTTAGACCACCATTTTGAGTTTGAGGATGCCACTTCCCCGGATTTCATCCTTTAACCTGATGTTTGGTTTAGTGGTGGGTTCCCGCTGAGCAGGGAATCTCGACCCCAGACATGGTTTCTGTTCTTGTTCAGCCAGGGTCATTGGGCCATTGGGCTGTTGTGGGGAATTTCGCCGCTTGAGCTTTCCGAGGTTGAACGCATCGACAAAAGTTGCGTTTGACGGGAATGTTCATCTACATGGGTGGCTCTCGCACCGCTTCTCAGGAGACTTGGCGAAGGGCTTTGCGACTTTGACATGACTTGTCAAAACTAGGGATGCTGCCAAAATGGTAAGTGTTCTGTTGGTTTGATTGAAGACTATGCATTCAGCCAGCCATGGTGGTTGATGTTTGCATCTATTATTTGGTTGACCTCACTTGATTAGGTTGTTTTATTTTTCCCGTCGAACCGCATTTCATGGTGAAAGCGAAATGCAAGTGATCTTGCGGAAAAAAAGTAGCGCCATGGTTGCGCTGGTTCGTTTCGGCAATTGCACTTTGCCAGACTCTTTCGTCGGACTGCGTAAGTTGCTGTCCTGGTTGTTGCGCACTTATGCCCCGAGTCGCTTCAAGATCTCAAATTCCAAGGTCTAGACTTTGGTGCATGTTGCTTGCATGTTAGGACTTTTAACTTTTTGCCAACTAATGGGTTTTCCATTAAACCCACCAAAAGTTAAACTTTTAGCAGGGGAGCAGAAAGCAACCGAGTAGACCGAGAAGCATCGCTCAATCTGCGGCAAGGTCCAGCTCTATAGTCACCCACTCGAGAGACAACACCCCTTCCCACTTGCCCAGTGGCGCCCTTGTTTCCTTTTTCACGAAAGCTAGCTTTAGCTAGCTGAAGTTTCTCCTTGCATAAGCAAGGTAAGGGGCTCAAATGCCGAAAGATTGATTTTTTCAATTATTTGAGCCGAAAAGATTGAAAAACATCAATTATTTAGACCCCCCCCCCTCCCCCCCCCCCCCGGTCTCAGGCTCGATTCCTCCCTGGTCCATCCCCCCCCGGGCAGTGGCTCAGTGTTCAGCAGTCTCGGTTTGCCCGTTTTGGACTTGGTGCTACGAACTTTTACATGTTCCACCGATTCAGCTTGTTCATTTGAGACCTCAGTCTTCTCGGTAAACCACCTCGCAAGAATCTTTGCACACGCAGCATGCAGAACCCAGAGGTGCTTTAAGACAGCTTCTGACGCCTCTCGTTGTTTTCATTTTTCAAGGTTTGCCACGCCACCATGTGCGTTTGCGTGTCGAATCTTGCCGGGCCTCTCGTTGTACACAAGCTACCCATGAATCCACTCTGTCACCAACCCATCTCATGCAACAACTGCTAGCTTTCGTTCACCTGCTCCTCAAGTTTTGGGAAGGGTTCCCCTTTAAACTCAACCAAGAACGGATACCCTTTTTCCCATGGCTACTGGGCATCTGAGCCTTGTATTGGTGACTTTTTAGTGGATGTCATTCAAAGACCACCTTCCAACAGTTTCACGTGCGACCAGTTTGACACGAGTCATGTCGGACCAAGAATGTTTGCTAGTCTGTTGTTTAAATACCATCCGCCATTCAACAATCAACAAGCAAAGCAAGACAAGCCGGCCCGCAAAAAAACAAAAAACAAAACATCAGCGCCAAAAAGTCAAGGCCCCCTCCAAAAAAAGAGCACGGTTTCCATGTCTGCTCGCTAGGCCAATCGGGCGCAGAGGTGTTCCTGGCCTCCCGGGCTCGGCAGTTCAGCTGCCCGTCAGAGGTAACGCACTTGCTGCGTCGACCAAAAACGCCATAGGCCACAGGCCCACTTGTGCCACAGGCCCAAAACCGATTCGGGTAGATGAAGGTTCGTAAGGAACAATCCCAACCATAAATAGCTGCGGATATCCGCCTTCTTAATTCTTTACATGGTTCTGGGTAGACCATTTTGATATCAGGTTTTGATTACGACTCACTTGCCCGGCGCCAATGGTTTTCACTTGGGGGTAAAACGAGCTCACCATGGCAACCCACTTGCCCATTGGCGACCTTTTTTCCTTTTTGGTTGGGAAGGGTTCCCCTTTAAACTTAACCAACAGAAAGATGCCCTTGTTTCCCATAGCCACTGGGCATCTGAGGAGGGGACCGATGTCCATGAGAAACACATCGCAGGAAAGTTTCGGGCTGCTCTTTTCAGGGTTGGAAGGACACCAAAAGGAAGGCCAACATCTTTGGATCCCGTTATTTGTTGACACATACCCATTTATTGTGATTCTTTAAACAACTTTCCTGAACGGTAGTCAACATGGAATGGATACGTTTGTTTTAGCACAAAATCCCAGTCCCTCTTATTTAGCGTCCAGGAATCAAGGTGATGTGTATGTGAACAGCGGACAATATTACCAACGCGGCTTTGAGTGGCACCTATCAGTTTGTGCCCAATTCATCGAAGGAAAGTCAACCAGTGGCCCAAGGGATGTTTGCATATCAAGCGCCAGAAAAGGGAGCCCTGGATATGCTCCCTTGGGCTCTTGGAGTCGGGGCTTCCCAGGCCATTTGATGTTGCTCGGGGTTGATTGCCGTGTGAAGCTACAACATGTAACATTGACGAGGACGGTCGAATTCCCTGGTGAGATTTCAGGGCGAGACAATATCGGAGAGCCTGGTTTCCAGCAAGCCCCATGACAAAACTTGATTAAGATTTCCGAGGAGGGGGCTACGATCATGGAGCAGATTTGTTGAATGCCATTGGGTTGTTTTGTTTTGGGAAAATGTTCTTGTCACACTAGCCAGCTGAACCAGCAAACAATTAAGCTTCTTGTGCAGAGGGTCGCCATCCAGAGCTTGGGTTGGATTGCAGCCGTCAGGTTCCTTCCTGGTCCTCGCTGGGCGCATCACCTCTGCGACAACCTTTGACCCCTCCTACGCAGTGACTTGCCATGGTGTTGGACACAAATTATGTGCCAACATCATCAAATTACGTGTATTATTAAGACGCATGTTTTCCCGAAGCAGAGGTTTGTATGAAAGTCGAGAGTCCCTTGGAAAGAGTGCGCCAAAATCCAGTAAAACGATAGGGCCCGGCCCAAAATGATCCAAGCATGTATGTGTGTCGCCTGGGGGTTGGAAAACACTGAGCGATGCCCCGGCCTGAGCGAGTGTGTGGCTGCCATGAGCAGTCTTCGTATATGTATATGTATGTATATATATATATATTACACACTGACAATCACAAACACATGCACACACACACACACCGCATGTTTGCCACATAAAGCACGCACACGCACAGACACACTTACACACACGCGCACACACACACACACACCCACCCACCCACCCACGCACGCACGCACGCACGCGCGCACGCGCGCACGCACGCGCGCACGCACGCATATACGAACACACGCACATATACACACACAGACACACAGGCGCACACACACGTATGTACTGCACACTCGCATACAAGCACACGCGCACACGCGCAGACACACATACACACAGACAGACAGAGACACAGACACACAAACACACGCAACCACGCTCCCGCAACCACCCACACACACACACACACGCACCCACACACGCACACCATCACACACACACAACACAAGCACACGCATTCGCACACACACACACACAACACACCCACAACACGCACACACAACACACACAACACAATACACAACGCACACACAACGCACGCACAACACACACACACAACGCACACAACGCACACACAAACAACACACACACACAACGCACACACACACACACACAAACAACACACACACACACGCATACGCACGCTTGCGCAATTATGCTGGCGCGCAATGACCCATTTGCGAATGCACGCGTACACGGCTGCTCGGATGTGGCGCGATTGCGCGCCCGCCAAGGAAAGCGTTGTCATTTTGCGATGTTTGCCGAGGCCATCGTGCAGAATAAGGATGAGCTGACTATTCCACTGGAACTCTCGATGATTCCGACACCCAAGGCAGTCTGAGATATTCGCGTTGTTTTGTTGCTGCTGGGTGCGAGTTATTGGCTACACCATGCTACACCCATTTGTAGGGAAATGGACGGGTTTGCGGAGGGCATTTGGTGTAATTGCCTCTTTCTCTCTCACACAGAAATATGTATATACGTTATTGTCTGCGGATCACAAAATACCAGTAGAGTTGACTACATGTAATTCTGTACTGTCCTTGATTCTGCTGTGTTACTTGATGGTTCACACATGCGCAGCAGACACAAGGTCAAATCGTGCCAAGCCATGCCCAATTGCAACATGGGCTCAAGGCAAATTGCTGAGAGAAGACCGGGATGGATAGCCACAACCCAACCCCAGACCAGGAACTGATGCAGACGCCTTCACCAAGGAACCTCTGAACAAGCCACATAACCATGGCCCGTGGTACTTTTTGACAATCAGAGGTAGAAGACCAGGGGTAGATGCAGTGGAAAAGGGTTCTGTTAGGAGATCAGCTTTAAAATTACGTAGCAAGAATACTTGGTTGGACGCTTAAGAACCATGGCATTTGTGTCCACGTCCCTCAGAGATGTTCGGACACTGTCTAACAACCTCCACATGTATAGGTACAATTGAAAAGCTTTTTGAGGCTGCAACCTCACATCTCTTAAAAGTCCCAGGGACTTGGTGGGACCTACAGGTTCCATATTGGGTCTTGGGAGTCTCACCGCTGGATTTCTTGATTTCAACATCCACCCAACAAACCCAATTTCAGCACGGGATTGAAACCGCCGCGGGTGTGCCACCATGCCTCAAAACCCTCACTTTTGCATGGACTTCTTGGGGCCACCGTAAGCATGTTTTCAGAGTGTCGGGCAGTGCCCACCAGGTCTCGTCCCGGGCTCGAGATATGGTGCTACGCTTGGCTCGCTGAAGTTGGTTTCTGTACTATCCGGCCCCACTTTAGACCAAATAGCCTGCCACTTTAGACCAAATAGCCTTGTTCCCCTTGAGAAGTGATTTGGTAGTGGAAGCCCTCTGAGCTTGTGAGCGCTTCGGGCTTAATATGGCCAACACCCCCAACTTGGATGGTTTGGGAAGCAAAGCTCACTTGGCGAAAGCGATGTTTGCTCCCCCAACATGTTGAATGGGGTAGCGCTTCGCGCTCTTGAAGAACAGTCGGGTTGCCACTGGAATCAAAGCCTGATTGCATGAACTCGCATCTGCCTTTTGGCCAGTCAGGATGAGGCCTTCAACGTTCCCCCCAATATAATATATAGGTTGTACATACTGTTACATACATATACATATATACATGTGTGTGATTCGTGTCAGATCGGGGCAAAATGGTCGCTCCAAAGAAGGGTACCGCGTCTCCAAAACATGCACACAGACACAGACACTCACACACACACACAAAAGCACAACCACATACACAAACACAAACACACAGAACACGCAATACACAAACACACAAGAACCGGTATTTTCCCGAACAAGAAATGGACCCAGCAGTGGGGCAACAATTGCTGAACCACCTGCACCCTGGTCCTCAACCGCAAGGAGGGTGATTGAACAACCTGCAGCCTTACCCTAAGATCAGTCACAGTTGGGAAAAAGGAGCAACTGCCCATCCCCGAAATCACTTGCGAAGGGGAATCAGGGTATTTGGCATACAGTTGCTGAATAGAAAATAAATCTAGAAACCAATCTTCCGTATGGAGCTAAGCATAGCTAAGCCAAATTTCCAGCCTTTGGGCATCACCCCGTTTTTCTCCGCCGGGGGCCCCGATCGGGCCCCGATGGTTGGTCAACCTTTTCGATGACGAGAGCCCGATGGTTGGCCTTCCGATTCCTTCCCATTGGAGAGGCCGAAAACATTGGGCCCCGCCCCGATGGTTGGAAAACCTTCCGATTCCTTCCCATTGACGAGAGGAGTTCAAGGACGCGATCAGCTCCTTGTCCCCGGAGATGCAGTCCTTCGCCAAGTCCTTCCGCTCCATGCAGCCCGGGGGCCCGGAGCGGTCCGTTTTTTTGGACCGTGAGCGGGAAAAACCGGGACCCAGGGGGGGTTCTTCTTTTTGGGTTCGCCGCTTATGATTTTTTTCAGGTACTGGCATTTTCCGGAAACACATGGGTATGGGTCAAAATTACACCAGGAATTGGACCGCAGGTTGTAGTCCATGCTTCCATTTACCCGGGTTCCATTTGGGGTACCTATTTTTGGACCCACACCCACATGTTCATGGGACCGTCCCAAAAAAGACGAGTACTTGGAAGGATGTCTTCTCGGTTTGCAAGGAGTGGAGGTTTGTTTTGGCATCTTCAAGAGGACGGGCGGGCAAAACCCTCCGAAGCTGTTGGGATCCTGGGAAGGTGACTCCAAACTTGGTCCAACCCCAGGAGTTTGGCGACACTGGTGCGGCTTTCGTTTGTGAAGGAGTTTCTGGTCACTCGGGACCTCGCGTAGGCTGGAGAGCACCCTCTTTGGCGTGGTGGTGGTACAAATCAAGCCGCAGTTGGAGAAGCTCTTAAACCTCGCGGAGGACAGCCTCACCAAGGACTGGTGGCGGCTCTTGGGTGGTTGTTTTATGATACGGTGGAGGGCGAACTCATGCACCGATGGAGAAACCAAGGGAGTCCACTGTTTGTTGGTGTTTCCAGGGGAGTCATCATTCCAGGGTTTCCTAGGTGGTGCAGGATGTCTTCCATCCACAGTATGTTGGCAAATTAAAGATTGACGATGTCTTTGGGCAGGTGGCAGAAATGCCCAAAAGAAGCCCTTGCCATGCTCTGTAATGACCGTAGTGCTCGCGGGCGTTTCAAACTGTCCGTCTTTGCAGTGCATGTGCTGGCACAGTGAAATCCTAGCCGAGTGGGTTCCACAGCACCCGATTCTAAGAGAAAAAGGCTCCCAGCCTGTTTCGCACAGGAGATCAAGCTGACGCAAGACCTCATGGAGCTGTTTATGAAGTATCAGAGACTTGGCTGGCTTGAGCAGTCCAAGAGAGATGAACATTCCGACAAAGCGAGAGAGAGGGGACAGGGCGGCCGGGCAGGGTTGGTGGGCAGAACCCATGGCTTGATAACATACCCGCCCACACACACACACATAACGCTGCATGTAGCTCTTCAGAGTCGCGGATGGGTGAACGGCTGCCTTCTACATCGAATTCCTACTTTGTTCAGGGTATGATAGGGTCAACCCCTGACTAAAAGAGGAGGTAGTTGCCGTGTAAAAGCTGGCTCTTCCATATATGCCCTGAAAAAGCGAGTATTAGTAGGGGTTATGCGCTGTCCTGTGAGCCTTCTATTTGTCGGATGTTTAGTTGCCTGGTTGCTTTCTTGGCCTGCGTGAACTTCGGATCAATTCGGAAAGGACCTGTGGCCATTCTCAAGCAAAACGGCCTCTTGCGATCTCCTGTTTTTGGGTTGCCCTGAAGCTTTGGGCTTTGGGCTTTCTGTTTCGGTGGGTCGACCCACCCAGGACTCATGAAGACGCACTAGAAAGTCTGACCCCTGGCGGTGCGCCTTTTCTTTCTCCAATTTTTCCCGTCATCAGTCTGGCAGCTGAACCTTGGCCTCCGTCTCGGCGAGCGGTTGCTTCTGCGGGGTTTCCCGGGTCCCATTTCGAGGAAGTGCCGCCTGTGGCCCTGCATGGTTCTCTTGTGTTTCTTCAAGGGAAACCTGGCCAGAAACCATTTCCAGGCGCAGGCGTCCAATTAACCCGTTTTAGCAAACAGTGTCTCCGGCTTCCGTGCACAGGATCCCAAGTGACCTGCTCTCCTTTGATGAGGAGGCTTCAGGCGGGTCTGTTCGCGCAGGGCTGGCTTTGTGGTATTGTTGAGAGCATGTTGTGTGCATATAGTACGTGTGTGTGTGTGCATATATATACATATATGTATTATAATGTTCACTTGACATGTGTGCGTCTGGAGTTTGCTTGTTTGTTGTTTTTTTTCTTTGTTTTTGTTGCGTCATTGTTTGTTTGATTGCTTGCTTGCTTGTTTGTTTGTTTGCTTGTTTGTTTGTTTGTTTGTTTGTTTGTTTGTTTGTTTGCTTGTTTGCTTTTTGGTTTGTGTGTTTGTTTGTTGTTTTTGGGCGGCAATTGCCAGACTCCATGCAGTTGCCATGCGTTCCTTCGTCTTCCTGTGCAACTATGGCAGCGGACGGGAACCTTCCCCAAAGGAAAAGCCGTCTTCAACTCCCCTCTGTTGGTTCCGTGATTGGAGGGAGGGTGGGATCTGGTATTTCCGAATTTCCATTTAGAGCTTCGAATCCTGGCTCCCCATGGTTGTTGGCGCTTGCAATGCTCAGGTGAGATGTTTGCTCTGGGTTGAACTCGATGAGACTACGAACCACAACCTATATGCTACAGGCTCAGTTAAAACAACACATTGAAACTTCCTTGGTGTTTGCTTCTCACTTCCTCAGCTTGACTAAAAACTGCTTGGGAACCTCATTGCAACAAACCCCTGGTCATCCCTGGTCCTTTTTTCTGACTCAACTCAGCAAGGGTTCGACGAGCAATGGGACAGCTTTTTCTGAGTGCTCCCAGGGGATTTGAGGGGCCCCAAGCGCGTGGACGTTGTGAAGGGCCACGTGCAGGCCAGGAAAAACGGCGCGCCACTGAGAGTCACCTGGCAACGGTGCCTAGCGGCTTTGGCTTTGTCCCACGGGCAAAGTTGTTTTTTTCGGGTGCATGTGAACAAAAAAAGAAGTGAAGCGACAATACGAAGCCTAAAGATGCATTTCTATGTACTTGTGATTTGGGGCACAGCAAGGGTCACCATGGCAACTGAGTAGTCACACTATCAGTGACGACTAGGGGCCGTTTATTAGGAACCATTTGCGGCGATTTAGGATCGGGGCAGTTGAGACACTCACAAACATCTTAAAGAGGGTCGCCAAGGAATATGATTTGCCAGGGACTCGTTCATACTGTGGATGGACGGAATCCTGCACCACCTTAGAACCCATGGGAAGCCATTGTTTGTTGATATTTACATTGGAGTCATCATTTCAGGGTTTCTTTAGGTGGAGCAGGATTTCGTCCATCCACAGTATTTTCGTTGTCTTCTGGAGGGTGGCGGACATCTACAGCACCAGCCTTCGGAGGGCTGCGCCTTGTTCTCCCGGAAAATGTCTGGGAAATGGAGAGCTCTTGCAGATGCGTTGATTGCAAGCTTAGTGCGTTTTAGCCCTTCTCCACCCACTCGCAAGAGCTTGCACCCAGCAGTTTTGCATGATAGCCCGGCTACCCAGTATGGTGGCACATGGACTCGCAGAGCCAGGTAAGGTAGAGTCGTTGGGCCACGGGTGGTTTGTTAATTTCAATTAGCTGTTGCTTTGCATTCCTGCATCTTGCTGTATGATGCCAGAGCGGTCCTTGCGCGCATTTGCCTATGACCTCATTTGGTGATTATTCAGAAGTGAAGTGTATGGTATATCTATATGTATGTGCGGCTGTGTCTTTTTGAGGCTAATGAAATGGGCTCCTTTTGGAGGGCACAAGGCGCCAAACTTGTGAGACAGGAACTCATTTCAGGTACCAACCGCACTGAGACCGCTGCCAGTTGCGAACTCCACCCACGCGCTGGAACGATGAGCAAAGCTTCCAATTCCTCTGTGTAGCCTATCAAGGATCGAGGTGCGACATCCCACTTAACTATTGGCGCTTGTTGCATGCTTGGTCTTTGGGCAAATTCTCCGATACCAGGGGAAGCCCTTTGAAAGTGATGGTGCAGTGGTGATGGTACCTCACAAAGGGGCCAGGGCTCGTTTTCCACAGCCATGGCAGTTTGAGTTGTCAAGATTTCCAAGCACCGCTGCCAAGTGCAGAGTGGGACGGAGCATCTTTTTCGGCAGATTGCCCCAAGGAACCCAAGGAACAAAAACAAAACACCCATCATGTTTTCTGGGGATCGATCTCCTTCCGAGTCGAGCCCCTTTTGTGGACCGGCTTCTGATCAGAGCCGAGAGGCCATGACTGACATGATCAACGCGGAGAAGCAGGCGGAAGTGGAGGCCGCCAGCATCCTGGCTTCAAAGCCCCTGGGCAGGGTCTTTGTTTGGGGAGTCCCTTTGTGCTTGGTTTAAAGGGAAGCCAAATGGAACACGTCACATGTTTGGATCTTTCTTGAGAAACCATGGGCTTGCCCAGAAGAGGTGCGCTCCTGTTTCGAACGAGTTGGGGCGCCCCTCCCCGAGGGACAAAGCCGATTTTCGTTATTTACCATGGTTTGACCACCGTCAGGCGCTGCAAACGACCTTTGGACCACTGAAAGAAAGATTTCTTCGGGAAGACCCACATTGACTGAATAGGAACAGAACATGTCTTGTTGAGTCTCCAGTCATGAAACACTGCATATATCTTCATTGTAACTTGAGGCTTTGCTTCTCCAACATTTGGCTCGCGAGTTCATTTCAAAAAGTCGCGTCAATACTTATCATGATGATGGCCTTTGCTAGGAGAGTTAGTTTGAAGCTGTGTGTTCCGATTCTTGCGGGATACATTCATTCTGAGATGTCTGTTCAACAGCAAATGTGAAGCTGTGTCTTCAATATCAAAGCTGGGAGCTTGTCCTAAGCAATGCCTGTTCTGAAGCGTTCTTTTCCAAATCGAGCCGTTCGGCTTTGGATGTCCTGGCGAAAGCTGATGGTTGTTGAGCTTTCTTTTTAACTCTGGCTCGGGAACCTGTCCTTTTAGTTTCGTGTTGAAGAATAATCTAGCTGCTTGAGTTGGGCGCGGGATATATGTGTTTCGAATAATTGTTCAAGATCAGCAATCTGGAAGCTTGCTCTTCAAAGCCTGACCTGGGAGCTCTTTGTTTTCAGACATGTTCATGAAATTGGGCTCGGGAACCTTGTCTTTGCCATGTCATATTCACGAAAAAACATGTTGTGCCCTCTCTTCAAAGTCCGGCCTGGAAGCTGTCTCTTTTAAGTGTCCTATTGTTGACCCCGGATTAATACATCCCTGTTTATTAATATGGGGGTGTCCCTGGTTTTAGTGGGGATTTTTCACTTTTGGAGGGGAACACCCCCATATTAATAAACGAGGGTTTATCAATCGGGGTCAACATTATTCAAAAAGCGATCAGTTCTGGCTCGGTGGCCATCTCTTCTGAGATTCCTTTTGACAAACCAGCATGCTGAAGCGTTTTCTTGAAAATGGAAAGAGATGGCAATCCGCTTCAGATTGAGAAGCCTGGCAGATCAGCTAGCTCTGAGAACTGAAATGCGGGCCCGGAGGAGTGTGGAAGTGAGCATCTATATGTATATATGTATGTATATATATATATAGATATATCTGACATATAGTTAAGCGCCATTAGCTGTTGACCCCAGCAGACTGAACTCAGGACAGGCCGCGCTCTACGCAAATCCTTTTCCCGGTGTGGAGCCCGAGACTCTGGGGTCAAAACAACAGATTGAATTCGGGTCCTTGTGTTGCCTTTCTTCTTTTTCTGGCACTTCTCACCTCCCTCGCCCGAAGCCCAAGCCTACGAGTTGGGGCGGTTTGCGGACATGCTTTTGTTGAGTTCGCTGGAGCATTTGGGGTTAGCTTGGGGAGCATGGGCTTGGAATCTTAGGGCTGGGCGACACCCGGCGAAGCCAACGCCGAGGGATTTCTCATGTCCCCGCGCGACAAAAAACTGAGTGAACCATGGTCAATCGCATCGACGGGACATGATGCGACATGGACCAGTCATGCGATGTGTTTGCCACTCAAACCAAGGAGGAGGGTTTGGCCTTGTATTTGTTTTCTTTCGGGTTTCAACCTCATAGGATGTAGAGATCTCCCTCGGTAGCCTGGGACTGCCACCTTCCGAGCCCACTATGCCAAGCTACAGGACTTTGGTCGGCTCGGACGGGTCTCCACTCCGAAAGGCTGGCCGATGGCTCACTGGCCCAGGTTTAGTTATCATTGGAAGTGTGCCCCCCATAAGTGTGCCATCTACCAAATCCGGTGCAGATGGAGTTTGACAGATGGAGCCCTGGCCAACTTGAAGTCTAGTTGTGGCCCGCATGCCCTCGCAAGCTTGGACCGTGGCGTTGGATGTGGCCAGAAGATGTGGTTTTTCCTTCCTCCCAACGGGAGGCACCTGGGATTGTACGGAGCCCCTGTCAGGTGCCATGTTAGTGGGAGAGGGTGGCGCAAGGATCGGTTGAGGTCGGACTGAGGCTGAAAAACGCCAACAAAGCAAGCGCCAGAAAGGCCCAAAACCAAAAGTAGAGCCCAAAAACGGACGAACTCAAACAAACAAGAACAGAGTGGCCCACAACAGCCTATGCAACTTGAACCAGCCATCAAGCAAGGCTCAAACTGGCTGTGGCAACACCAGCCTGGGAAAGAAGCAAACAGCAAACAGAACCTCTACAGTTTGCACAGCAGCACTTTTTTTTGGGCCATTGAAGGCAGCTTTTGTTCCCATGCCAGCATCCCGTTATAAGGCGCCGGTTGATCAGGGCTCCTTAAAAGATACATTGTGCCCATTTGAAACATGGCCTTTTCCACCAAAATAAAGGGACACCACCATTTACAAGGCAATGTTCAGGTGAAAAATGTAAGGATCCCTGTTGATACAACAGCTGGTTCTCACTGCTTCAAAGTGTAGCTATCCCGACTTCTTAGGAGGCCCGGGCGTCCTTAGATCGAGCAGCTCCGTCTCTCCGACATGTTTTTGCGGACATGGCAAGGATTTGCCGTCCGCCAAGCGTCAACCTTCCCTACTTGGATGTTCAACCAACGTGGTAAGTATGTCATAGCCATGGCCATGGCTATTGCTTGCGTAATAGGGGTTCGCCCCCCTTGTAACCATGGCTACAACTGAGGTTAGTTCCCCTTCTGAGCATGCTTATAACGCACTTCCTAAGTGGGTCGAACATCGAAGAAAGTATGTGTAAAGCCGTGGGAGCTGTACTTAGTTGAATCGAGTGTGTCTCACATACGGTTGACATGCTCTAGAAACCTGCTCTGTGACAGTGTTTCCCGGACTACTGCAAACTAAGTTGTTTTGCAGGATGCCCAGGTCGCAGCAAAGATGCATCGAAGGAAACTGGGCCCTTGTCTTGGAAAGCAGGAAGCCCACTCTGAAGAGGGCCAACCTGAAACATCATGAATCATGCAGCCAGCATGATATTGGGCAAGATATTGCGACGTCACTAGGTGGTTGCGACGTCACCCAAAGAGAAGGTTCCTTTCTTAAGAAAATGTCGACTCAGCTTTCACGTAGTTGTCCTGTTAAAGTTGCTCGCCACGGACGAGCCATGACATTGGTCATGCCTTGACATTGTTGACATTGATCATCTGCGCAAACAGAAAGGTTGTGGAATTGCTCGGCATCACGTGGAGTGAAAAAGCATTTCCTGCAACTCTTGCATGAGCGCCTCAAAAATATGCTTGGGTCCTGCGCACGTACAAGCCGGCGAAGCCGGGGGCGGAAGTTTTTTAAGAAATATGGCAACTATAGGATCTCTTCTTTTGGTCCTTTCCTTGATTGCTTCTTTCTTCTCTTCTCTTTTCTTCTTTCTTCCTCCGTCTTGCTTCTTTCTTCTTTCTTCCTTCTTCCTCCTTCTTTCTTCCTTCTTCTTTCCTCTTTCCTTTTTCCTCTTTCCTCTTTCCTCTTTCCTCTTTCCTCTTTCCTCTTTCTTTTTCCTCTTTCATCTTTCCTCTTTTCTTCTTTCTTCTTCCTTTTTTTGTCTTTCTTCTTTCTTCTTTCTTCTTCTGTCCTCTCTTCTCTATTCTCTCTTCTCTCTTATCCTCTCTCTTTTCTTCTCTTCTCTTATCTTTGCTTTTTCTCTTCTTCTCTTCTCTTCTTTCTTTTCTATTCTTATCTATTCTTCTCTTGTCTTCGCTTCTCTCTGCTCTTCTCTCTTCTCTCTTCTCTGTTCTCTCTTCTCTCTTCTCTCTTCTCTGTTCTCTCTTCTCTCTTCTCTCTTCTCTCTTCTCTTCTCTTCTCTTCTCTTCTCTCTTCTCTGTTCTCTCTTCTCTCTTCTCTCTTGTCTCTTCTTTTTTTCTTTTCTTCTTTTTCTTGTCTTCTGTTCTCGTTTCTCTTCTGTATTTAAAAGTTGCAATTTTTGAGCCCTAGCTGCGAAAGTGCCAAAGTATTGCCCCTGCCAGCAAATCTGCACCCTCGATCGCGAAAGTACTGCGCCTGCCAGGAAATCTGCATGGCTGCGAAAGTACTGCCCCTGGCAGCAAATCTGTACCCCAGGTTGCGAAAGTACTGCGCCTGCCACAACATTTAAACTACCTATCTATATATAGTTATATATATATATATATTTCATCTATCTATCTATCTATCTATCGATCGATCCGTTTATCTATCCATCTAGACTGCCAAAGTACTGCCCATGCCAGCAAATCTGAACCCCAGAGTGCGAAAGTACTGCGCCTGCCAGTAAATCTGCCACGAAATCTGCACTTCAGGTTACCACAGTGCTGCGCCTGCCACAATATTTGAACCTCCGAAAATGTCTGCGCGAGCTTGCCATTGGTGAACTCTCCGAGACCGTGCCTAAGTATTGCGCTTGCCACGAAATTTGAACCTCCAAAATTGTTTGTGCGAGCGTGCCATTGGGCAACTTTTCGAGACCGTGGCGAACCCGTGGTCGAACCCGTGGCGAACCCGTGCGCAAAACAGAGGTACCCTTCGCGTTGTTCATGCGCGTTGCGAACTACACTTTTCGTATTACGGAAGTTTTCGAGCTTAACTTCCATATTTCACACTTTAACTCATGACGTTGATTGGATTCTGGACACCAGTGCCTCTCATGGAGTGCCTTATCATGACAAGTCCTGGCGCTTTGAGGATTGAATTGAAGCTGTAGTCGTGTGCAGGTCATAGTGTTGAAGGCCTACAACACATGCCGCGCTGACATATAGTCTTTAAGTTGTTGCTTGACGCAGTCTGACAGGGCTACGGCATCTGCGACTTTTGCTGCTAGTGCTTGTTTTTTTAGCTCACAATTATTTTGGCTAAGCAGTTGAAGTTTGCAAGCGGGTGCATCATGCTTTGCCACTTCGGACCACCAGGTATATAGCGCCCCAGAAAGCAACTTTCGTTTCTGCAGCTCTCATAAAATGGGACCTCCATGGCCAGATGTCATACGACGAGGATGCGCTGGGATGCGGAATGAGGATGGAATGTGATTCGGATCTCATGGAGGAGTGCGAAGAGTTTGCCAGTTTGGACCACCCAGGTAATGCCCCAGAAAGGAACTCCCGGTTTGGCATCTTCATTTAGGGGACCTCATGGCCAGATGATGTCAGACGACGAGGATGAGATGGAAGAATGCCGGGCCATGGAATGTTGTATGAAGGAGTGCGAAGAGGCCATGGACGACTGCTTTGACCTTGACGCTGGGACCAACGAAAGCTGTGGATTTGGGTATGGGTTGGAGATGGCAGGGTATCCTGCAAATAACATGTGTTTGCTGATTCTAGATGCCGGGATTCACGGTTGGATCGCACTCCGCATGAAGCATCTCAAGGGGCCCCATGTTTCTGTTGCCGTTCAAATTGGCTTGTACCTTTGTGTGTGTGTGCGAAGTGAAATGTGTGCAGCTTTTTGCCACCCGCGCTCCGTTTCTCCCAAAACCTTCAACCTCCAAGCTGAAATTTGCGTGCGGCGGCATGGTTGGCCGACTTACTCAGCTCCCACGAGCTCGTGGTAGAGAACTTAAGTGAAAGGGACCTTGCTCAGGGCTCCTTGAAAGATACATGTTTGCCCATCTGAAACATGGCTTTTTCCACCAAAATAAAAGGAAACCACCATTTACAAGGCAATGTTCAGGTGTAGAATGTAAGGATACCTTTTGCTGACACTAGAACATCGCCTTACGCCAAACGCGCGCAAGAGTGATCACACTTTGTGTTAAGATGGGCAAGTGTATAAGCCGGGGAACGCAGGCGGGCAAGCAAGCAAGGGAACACGCGACAAGTCCCCAGCAGGTACTCTGTCTATTGTATGGGGAGCTCACCTCGGGATGAAACAAGTTCACTACTTAGGTGTTTTTCCGTTGGCTCCCTTCTGGGTTTGGGAAGTTGTTCCCCTAATTTCAGGTCAGTTTAACATCCTCCTTTTCTTTTGTCCCTTTTGGGTGGTTTGAAGAGAAACCACACCTGCGATTTTGCAAACCCACAATTTTTCGCGAAACCTTCATGTTCAGCTTGGCAAAAGATTGCAGGCATGCAGTGACCGCGTCAGGCAATGGAGGGCGTTTGAAAAACCTTCGCTTACTGGTGCTCAGTAGGGGATGAGCCCAGAATTTCCCCCTGCAGGAAACCAGTTTGATGTCTTATCTCGTCATTCCATTTCTCAATCCCTGCATCTCTCGCAACGATCCCAAGTTCATGTCCACCCCGAGGTCCCCCCCGGAGTCTTTGGGACTCACTAAGGCTCCCTCGGCGCCGATGCCAGCGCGAGGCAGCGCCATGCGAAGCGCCACTCGGTTTGGGCGATGGATAAAGAGTCTAGGTCCCCCAGTAGTGCCCGTTTACCCTTTTTGGGGGAGGGTTCCCCGACTAAAATAGACTACAGAAAAAGGATACCCTGATTCTAACCTCTCTACTGGAGAACCTAGAAGAGTTCTGTATGCCGATCTAGAAATGGAATGATGAGATAATCATCCAACTGGTTTATTCTAGGGGGACATTCTGGGTTCATTCCCAAATTCCCTGAGCGACAGCAAGCTATTTGTTTGCAACATATAGATTGGGCAAGTCATCTTAATCTAGGGTTTAAGACACTGGCGTGTCGTGCAACGCATGTGATTGGCCTTCGCTGAACAAGTCTTTGGTCCTGGTAGGCTTGGAAGCAGAAATGGGGCCTGATGGCTTGGCCTTTGAAAGTGAAGCACAGGTTCCTTGGTTTTTGCTTGCTGAATGGGCACACACACATTCAGCCATGTGGAGGGTGTATCATGCATGGCGTGGGCTTAACGAATCTTAACGACAAACATTGATGAAATTGATAGCCGGGAGTTTTATCAAGAACAATGGACGCTATGTGGTAGTTTTTCGACAAACCAACCGAGAAGCGACAAGCGACAGGTTCTGGGGATCTTTTGTGTTGCGACAGGCCGTCATCAAGTTGTCTGTTATCATGATGCCTTCTTTTGTGGGCTTACTGTACTCATACTGAGCGTGGTGTGGTCGACACCGTCGACACCGCAATGCCGAGGAAACGAAGAAGGCAAAGATGGAGTCTGATGCTGGTGGCGACAGGCCAGGGCTCCTGCAGCTGATGTTACATTGTTTGTGCTGTTCTTCCTCGCTTAACATCGGCTTGCACGGAGTGTCGATAATGAAGCGAACGATGGAGTTGTATCTATGCACATCATCTCGCAAGAGGCAGACACGTTGGATGGACACTGGGTGAGTATTGTTGATTATTCGTAGATGGTAAGTTGAACTGGGGCCTGGCCTGCAAATACCAGGATACACCGGGATCACCGCAACATGTTTGGACTTCGTAGTGGAAGAGCCAATGGTATTTAGTTGTGACACACCTGTGTGGATTGGTTGCAACAAGCAAGGTGGAGGGCTGACTGCAAATCATACGCGAGCATTCGACATATTTACATATTTGTATTAAACGGTTAGGATTGGGCCCCCCTTGCTCAGCGGTGTGCAGGCAGCGGTGACATGAGAAACGGTTGTGAGTTTGCAGCATGTCGCCGCGTGGCCTTTCAACTTTTAATGCCGAAGGAAGGGCGAGGCGAGATGTAGGTTACCCTTTGCATGTGCTCACCTTGAGCAAGGACACAGCAGCCAAAGCATCGGTTGGCAAGGTGCTTGCAGCGATGCAACGCGGGGGGAAGAGCGGCAATATGTGGAGCAAGTTTCCCGTGTCACAGCGTCGATACCGAAATCAATGCCTATCATTCGAAATAAGCTCAGGTGATATCCTCAACAGCATACGGTGCTTGTTGTCGACCCTCGCGAAACTCTGCGGAACTGTACCTCAGAGCCACCCCGAACCAACCACCTCGGAGCCTACTTGGGCTGAGACCCCAAAGCCTCCACAACCTGGCTTGAACCTTTCACCTGGCCCGGAACCTTGCTTGAACGTTCACCTGGCCTGCACCAGAGCACCGGAACCTTCGGAACCTTGCTTGAACCTGTCGCTTGGCTTGCACCAGACCATTTCGGGACCTCCGAACCTTCCTTGAACCTTACACCTGGCCTGCACCGGAACCTCCAGAACCTTGCTCTCGAACCTGACTCCGGAGCTCCCCCGAGCCACCCCCAAACTTTTTTTGGGCTGAGACCCCTTAGCTTTCAGCTGTTGGGGAAAAACATAATTTGTGCTGAAAACATTGCTTGGACGGGTGTTGGGAACGCCGCTCGCACAGAGCACGCTTGCACAGCGCAGAGTACATCCCAGCTGGATTTGTAGGAAGCGCCAAGCGTGTTGGCGTGCACGAAGGCAACAAACATGTTTGCGCAATGGTTGCTAACAAAAAAAGCCAGCAAAACGGCTAGGTTTACACACCAAGAGGGTTGCTAAGCGGAATTCCTGCATTCTGCAGAAAAGCAAGAGGTCGTTTCGTTCATCGCTAAGCATTGTGTATCAATCATCGGCCTTCCCAGTGCTTGGATGTTGGATACGGTTCGGTTTCCTGGTTGTTGCAGAAATACATCTGCCCCTTCGGAGCGATTCCCCTTGGCATGGGAGATTGATCTATGGAGTGTCAGCTTCGGATTGATCCAGAAGACCCGACAAGTCCAAAGAGCCCCCGAATCCCTGTTTCCTATCGAAAACATTCCCCCCCCCCACAAACAAAAAGGGCCAGGGTTCTGGTCCGTCCCTTTCGGTCCTCTCCGGCGCTCGTGATGAAGTCTCCCCTTTCCAGGCCCAAAACTCGTTCAAAACGGAGCATATAAGGAGCCACTGCAGAAAGTGGCATACTCTTGGAAAAGTGTATTGGCTCAGCAATGGCTTTCTGTCTCTGCAAGGCCCCTAATACGACCGGAGTTGGGGACGGGCCAAAATCGCTGCTTCTGTTAGTAGGATATTTCAAATTGGCGATTCTCAGTGTACGGCCAGCGCGGCTTTCTTGAGCCCCCAACTTAAACCCTCAACCAAATCTCACAACCCTTCACCTAAACCATACGCCCACACCTAAACCCTACCCCTAATTCAAAGCACAAACCCTAAACCCAATAACCCGTAAACCTAGACCCGAAACCTTTCAGAGTTCACGTAGGCTGGGTCTCAGTCTTGGCTTCAGGTAAAGTTTAGGGGCCAGGGTTGGGGTTTAGGCTTTGGGCTTTCAGCTGCTGAAAGCCCAAAGCCTAAACCCCCTACCCTGGCCCCTAAACTTGACCTGAAGCCAAGACTGAGACCCAGCCTACGTGAACTCTTATATTTCCTACAGACCTAACCGTAAACCAAGACTTAAACTCTACTCCTAAACTCAAGCCCTAAAACCTTAATCTTAGGCCCTAAAGCTAAACCAAGCCTGGTCTGCTCCCAACGCACGGGCGGTACCGCCTGAACGGAACACAGCTTTGCACCAACCAAGTATGGCCGTGCGAGCTCTGTTGCTTAAATACCCAAAGGGGCCTGTGCCAGCAACGCGTGCGGGTTGTGGTAAATGTAGTATTCCCGGACTAGTTTGTTTAAACTTTTTGGGAGTGATAAATAAAAAGCTTGCTTTTGACCAATTCCCTCAGGAAGTGAGTTTATTATTCCAGTTCCTTACTAATCGCTTCCGTTGCCCAGCCCGCCTCGGCCTGTATCAGTCGGGTTCCTTTGGTTGGCTTTGAAGTATAGAATTGAGCTGGATCCAAGAGGTTGCAAAATACAACTATGATAGTTCCCGCGCCAGTGCCCTCCGTGTACCCTGCGTGCGAGTGTGCGAGTAGCGCTTGCGAATGTGTGAGTGGAACGGGCGCGCGAGCGGACGAGTGCGTCGAGTGGACGAGTGGCTCGAACACTCGCAAGCCCTACTCGCACGCTTTTCACTCGAAACGAAATAAGGATAAATAAGGTCTATTTGTCCGGCCTTATTCTTGCTTACGAGTGCTACCTTCATTTGCATGCTAGAAAAAGGTATTATTCAAAAGAATCGCATTTCAATTCGATTGAAAAGTGTACGAGCAAAAACGCGCGAGTTTGCGCAAAGTAAGTTCTGAAAGTGCCCCCTCATAAGGGCTGCCTGAAGTTAGTATTGGTTTAGTATTGGGTCACCTAAAAGTACAAACGTGGATATCTTTATTGGAATTTGGCTTGCAAAAGATACTTTATTAGAGCCAGTCCACCCACAACCCAACAGGAAAATACTTGCTCAACATATCTTGGTGGTTCCCAGCCTTTAGCTTTTCAGGTTTTAGTGGGTTTCGTGGGTTTTGCATGTACCCTCCCACCAGGATCTGAACACGGCCAGCCCGTGGCAAGTGACCCAAAAGCGCCACGGGAGCCGCAGGTCCGCCCCCGCGGCCAAGCAGCCGGGCCAGCCGACGCAGCCGACGCAGCCGACGCAGCAGGGCCAGCCGAGCCAAGCGGCGGGCCATGAGGCCAGCGCCGAGCGGGGGCAAAGCGAAGGGGCCTGTGGTGTTGTTTTTTTTGGGGGCCCCAGTAGGGCCTTTCTCATCCCCTTTTTGGTTGGGGAGGGTTCCCCTACTAAAGTTGGGTTTTCATGAATGGATAAAAAAGGAAGGTACGAATGGTGTAGTTTACCCTCGTGAGTGGACATTTTTGCTGGGTCTACATGGAATCGCGCTTTTGACCTTTTGATTTTTTGTCAAAGGTGAATGTCGATCACCTCGCGCCGGTCGATCGGTTGGGTGGCTATCCTGAAGCTTGGCAGAGACCCCAAAAAGGGATTGGTTATGAAAAGGCTATGTCCTCCATCTGACTGTTTTTGCGGGTTCCAGGACCGTTTGTTGCATGGCGATCCATTCGCACAGGGCGTTGTCAGGGCGTTTCAAGGGTCTTATTGGAACAGTCTTGCCGACGGAAAATGGCAAACGAATACCTGGTGCTCTCATGCCATGAAGGTCTGTAAACATTGTCGTGTGACTGCCCTGGCCATGGAAAGGTCCTGAAAGATGGTAACCGCTGCCTTCACTCCGAGCGAAGGGTGACCGCAGGGCTCATTCTTAGTTTCATGCCACACACCTTTTTCGTTGGAATCTATAGATCCTTAATTGGAGCATCTTAAGGATTCAACATGGGCAGGGGTCTAACCAACTTTTAGTCACTGTTTTTTTATGTGCAAGTACCCAACCCGTCACCCCGAACCCCTCGGGAGGTGGGTTTCCTGGCCGTTTCTTGGGCGATCCATCGAAAAGATTCCCCATTGGGAGACGGGCCCATATGGCTGGGTAATAACCTATGACTCCATTTTGGGGCGGATGACCACCCATGTACCACCTATTTTGATGTTCACCAGGGGTGCAGGGTTTTGACTCACAGCCATATCCTTCATTCGGAGAAAACACAAACTCAATGCGGCCGCGTCGTCAGGCTGGTTCAGCTGTGGCACGGCTCTCAGCAGAGACCCGAGTCACATGCACGGGCGCTGTGTTTACCAGGCACCCTTTCGGGATTAAACATCACTTGGCCATAGAAGACATGGCCGGTTCTGTTGGGAAGTTGTGATCCAGAATCAGAGGCTGTTCCTACGTGGATTCGGTGGCGAAATCTGTTTCTCGGGCTCCGTGTGTCACTTGATCCCCCCAAACCGATTCCCTTTGGCGAGTTTGGTAGGTTTTTACCGGTGTGGCTATAGTAAGGCCTGTGTAAGCCTTTCGCAGCCATCTTGGGGTTTTGGTCAAATGGGCTTTGGTCAATGACCTAGCTTCTCCCTGGGGTTCAAACCACCATTTAAAAAAAACAATGGGGGATCATATAACCACGATTGTTTGGCTAAGGATTGTCCAAGTTGGGTCCTTGCCATTGGCTATAAGACAGGTTTATTCCAATTGGTCCACTCGGCTCGTTGCTGCTCGCGTCAACCGACGCGAACCGCCGCGACGAACCGAGGTCTTCAGGGACTACACCAAGGTGCCGAAGCAAATGGACGAGCAGTTTGAACGGCTGGCGCCGGAAAGTGCCCCGGAAAGGACAGATGGCCCCTACTGTGGATGGACGAAATCCTGCATTTGGGAGCCATGGGAAGTCATGGTTGGTTGGTATTTACAGGGGAATCATCATTCTAGGGTTTCTTTGGTGGTGCAAGATTTCGTCCATCCACAGTAGGGTTCCTTGCCTCCATTGAAAGAATAGCAAGGACCCAATTTCAATGAGAAAGCTTAGGTAAACAATGGTGGTTGTATGAACTTCAACCATTGCATGAACCAACCATTGTTTTGATGGTTTGAACCCCACGGTGGCCGTGCTTTGTTTTTTTTTCTTCGGGGAACCCGCTTTTCCTTGGCTTAAGGCATGAAGGAAACAGGAGACCAACCATGGGGTTCCTTCATTGTAAGACAGTCAGTCGACTGGTCTTTGGAGTAGGGGGTATATCTTAAGATTTCTACGACATAGACATAGGCCACAATCATTTATCATCTTTACACATCATATGCTATTGGGAGCAACAGTCACAGCTGATGCACAGATGAGTCCCTGGTGAATTTGGGAGAGACATGGGGCTTAACTTGGGGCAGCTCCAGATTGTGACCTTGGCTCATACGAGTGTTTATCTAGGAGACCTCAATGGTTGGCTGTCCCACTGTGTCCCTTCACAACCTTCCAAAAGAGATGCCAATTTTGCGGGTTACCCGGTGTTAACTTGCGGGCTTTCCTAACTCCCAGGCCAGATACCATCGTGCCTTGATCCAAAACTCGAGAACTGACCATATGGCCATGCAAATTGTGCAGAAACAGGTGCCTTTATCCTGAGTGATGTCGCAAATCCCGGAACAACAAAATGACATCGCTTTCATTTGCCTATTTAATTTAAGTAGATGGCGGCTTCTTCGGGATTTGTTCCGTTCGGTGATCAACCCGTCTAAACATGGCACACGACGCTATCAACCAAATCAGGGCTATCAATCCTTAATTATCAGTACATGAGTCGCTAGATGTCCAATTGAGCCATTGCCGCACCCATTCGAAAAGCTAAGGGTAATGTTGCATCAAGCCTTGCCAGAAAAGCAAGCGACTCTCTTTTCTGCAGCCAACAGGAAAACCAAGCAAAACAAAGAAATACGTACTAGTACCTGTTAGCTCTCATGCTCACACTGACCAAATCGAAACCACATATAGGACTTGCTACTGTGCTACTGGGGTAATCACGCTGATTTGCCCTGTGCATCCAGATTTGATTGAATACATTAAGCATTTCCTGAGTTCAGTTTTCAGGCACCCTGGATCTCTTCCACCTCTCCTTTGGTGCATTTTGCTTGGATGTTGGGACTTTCACTTTTGGCCAACCAATGGTTTTTCCGTATTAAACCACTAAAAGTTATTCACTTTTGGCAGGGGAGCAGAAAGCACCCGAGTCTCGTAGATGTCTTTGTCCGCTTTTGGCAGCGGTGACCCGTTGTGTACGAAAGGCGCTTTGCGGCCCACGATCCTCAACGTGGGCAGCGCCTGGTCCAAGCGAAGCCAAAGGGCGCTGCTGGCTGAGCCGACGAGCGCCACCTTGGGGCCCGACGAGCAGAAGAGCCAGAAGGCGAGCCCGGTAGGTGTCCTTTTTGGTTGTTTTGGCGGAAAAATCGGTGGCCCTGGTTTACCTGGTGGTTTACCCGTCTACCAGGGCCATCTATTTCCCCTGAAAGGACACCTATGCCAGTGGGGGGTTGTGGGGTAAAGGCGTGGAGAAGTTGGGGGAGCGTTGGGCGGTGAAGGCGTGGAGAAGTTGGGAACAGCCAGATCCAGTTCAACTGTTCGGTCCGCAAGGGCCAAAAATCGGGAAGGTGTTGAAACACATGGACGCATTTCGGTCACCTCCAAATGGTGGTGGGGCGGGTGCGGGGGCAAGGTTGGTTTAAGCATGCTGAAACAACAGAACCCTTGTCTGCTTAAACATGAAACCAATTGGAGGTTGTTTAAATAATATTGGCCTAAGCATGTTCCAACACGGGAGTGGCTGCATGACGGGTGAGGGATGGGTGGAGCGGAAAGGGGGAGCTTGGTTCAAGGATTGGAAGCCAACCACCCCGAAACACCCACGTGTTTACCTCTTACGGTTTCAAAGCAGCTTTTGCCGCGGTGATCTCTTGGCTCCACACATTTAGCCACTTTGAGAATGTCATCATGGACCTGATGGGAGGATTCTGTTGCCCCAGATGTTAGCCGATGGCTCCCAGCTGACCGTGCCCTTTTAAACAAAAACCTCTGCACATTTGTGTGACGGTGTGTGCATGCAGAGCACCCGCAGTGTTTTTAGTCTAAAGCAATAAACATGTTCCACCAGGACGAAAGCACGATTTTTGGGTCAATGTTCAGGTAGACAGTATGGGTATGCCAGGTTGTCTGTGTTTCCATTACCCGGGCAACCATTTTGGGTTTACCCTATTTTTGACCCACAGCCATATTGCAAGAACTGCGATTGTATGTATTTTTGCCAGGATGCGGCCTTCGACTTACTGGACGCAATCACCAAGTCGGGGGCCTTGCCGCTGAGCCACGCGAGCCTGCACATCGTCATCGCCCCTCGGTAGTCACAACGGCGCCCCGTTGGATAGGGCGCTGGTTTAAGAGCATTTTAGTATACCCCATTTTGGAATTTGGCAGACCGGTCCTAAACCCGCGAGTGATTTTTAGGACCAACATTTTTTATTGGTAAATACAACCGCAAGGCCTCAAGTAATTAGGCCTTTGGGGGGTTCAAGGCCCTGGAACTTCGGGTCTTGGGCAGATATGTACTCGTTTGTTTTGGCCATCAACTCCGGAAGTAAGTCATTTCACTCTGATCCTGGTGCAAACGGACTGCCTTGTTTCGCGTCCGGACACCGTTCAACTCGGCAGTTTCCGAGAAAGAAGTGTTAATAGCAGAAGCCCAAAATGTCACTTTTCAGGGGTTCTAGTGCGAGCAAATCGTTGGCTAAGTCTCGTGTCGGTTTAGAGGGCGCTCAAATTTAGCAGGAGTTGCGGTGGGAGGACGGGCGAGGTGTTGGAGGAAGCAGCAACTTGCGTAGATACGTTGTATTCGGGTGAAAGGAATAATTAATCAGCCCTTGGTTGATTCAAAGGGGTCTGTCCCCTGCATTGTCGGCCCTTTGTTCGGTGTTGGTGGACCACGTTGAGCATTCAAAAGGGTTTCCATGAGGGATCCCGTTTTTCCGACTCCAACCAGTTTTTTGGGGTAAACAAAAAGATAAAATTGACGTCAAAACAAAGCTTGAGGGTTGGAACGCCCGATTTCTGTTGAGCGCCGCGGCTAGGCAGCAACTCATTGCTTCGACAAGACGGTGACAGAAACCGCGCCTTGGAAGAGGAATCTGCTCGGGCAAAACTGGGCCCTGCTTGCTTGTGCAACCAACTCGGTATGTAGATTATAACAACGGTAAGACGTTAAACAGGGGATCCATTTTAGTTACCCAAGGCAAAGCCAAAGTTGTAACCAAGTTGGTTGACCTTCCAACCCATTTGCCCACTTCAGGGAGTCCAACAAGAAGGTCCAGTGGGGCCGGTGATGTGCAGTGAGCCATTACCTTGACTGCACGTCGTGTTGGCTTCTGGGGTATTGGAGTCATGACTCTAGCAAACTCTGCGAACTCTTGCGCGCATGTGTTTGTTTTTCTTTTGAGGGCACCCTTTCAGGTTGTTTCAAGACCACACCAAGCAACAACCTTTTCTCTTTTTCGCAAAAGCCAAGTGTTTGTTCTTCAAGTTCCTCCTTTCGTATTGCTTTCTTCGAGCACCAGATGCCAGAGAAGCACAGAAAGTCCAAGCTTATCGCTTTTGCAACGTGGTTGCAATTATGTGATTTGCCCCAAGTATTCAAACTGATGGCAGCGCAGGTGATATGAAAGTCACTCTGCTTTTGCCAGCTTCTCAGTGGCTGCCTAGACGCTTATGCCGTTTCTGAACCAAGCGCAGCCCAAAATCCTTCGCCCCCCGAATCCGGATCCCAATGCCTGGTGCTTGGGGCCTCATGGCCTGGATTATTAGCCTCTTGGAGGGTTCAATCATCGGGGGCCCCCTTAACATAGGATCAAAAAAACCACATTTGGGCTTCCTCTCCGTTTCTGTGCTTGGATCTGATACGTTGGAATGCTCGGCCATGGGGCTTGGGCTTCCTCTTTCAAGCGGTTGTGATCACCCTGTGGATTCCGCTCCGAACGACAATGGCCCAAATATTTGGAGGTGTCAAGCACATATGGCGCATATTCAAAGATGGGGGCATACTTACACACGCAGGCCTGAATCGTTGGCTTTCTAGAGGCTCTTTGCTTTGGGTGTTTTCTGATTTCCTTGACTGGAAACAGCTTTTTGGACATTTTGAAGGGAAACCAAAAGGACAAGCTTCCAGTGGGCACAAACATCCAGATATGAAGATCATAGGATACCAGTTTCTTTACAGCTAGTTGAATGTTATTCCTAGAGGGTGTAAGATTCCTCCAGATCCGTGGGTGTGCCACAAGGCGCCGGAGGTGTGCGGAGCAGCGGAATTTTCAGGGCGGTTTTCGGGGTCGTTTTCGGGTTCCGGCTGTTGGGGTATCACAAAAAGCACCCAGATCTGTACTGCTCTCAGCAAGTTGTTTTTTGTTCTTTCTGTACTTGTTGTTTCTGATCATGTTTTTTAGTAGAGGGCTGCAAAAAAAAGGGCGTTGTTTTTTTGGTACCACACCAAGGGTTGCGAAGATGCGTTTGTTCGAAGTGGTCCCTTGGAAGTCCTGTCCAGGTGGTCCAGGAGAACTGCAACCCCATCGAGCGAGTGGAGCGATCCAGCTTGATCATGGCCTCCACGGTGCATCAGGAGAGTTCCACTGGAGCTGAGTGGCGCAGGGCGCAGGGTGCTCGCTGTAAATATATATATATATAACAACATATTGATTGTTTGTTTACTTCGGTGCTATACAGCGCATCTGGGTTTTCAATTTACATTTACCCAAAGGTCCAATTCTTTGCTAGAGGGAACACACACTTTGCATGGGGCATTTGTTTTACCTTTCCTGGACCGTTCAGTGGATCCGACTGAGATGGCAACGGATTTCTCGTCGTGCCTCCAGCCATACGAGATGCCTAGGTGAGGATTGTTTGAAGTAAAGTCATTTACCCTTATTTTGTTCAATGCGAGAGGGAAACGAAAGGATCCACCCATTCTGGGGCTCGGCGAACCATGTTTTCTTACCCTTCAAAACTCAAGGGTAACTCATGTATTCCAGTGAAGGAGCCTTGGGCTTATGACCATGCTGCTCAAGGCAACCAATTTGAGCCTCCAGTGGGGTTATGACCCCGGTATACGTTGCCTTCCCTTTTGGAAGGGAGACTTCAGGGCTGGCAACGACTTGCAATACTTGGCTGCATTTCTGCACTATCAATTTGTCTGAAGGGGGGAACCAAATGACCCGAAGTTTTTCGCGTAGATTTTCCATGGTGTTTAAAGGGAACACTCCAAAGGACCTTTGAATGTTGGTACATTGCTGTGTTGCCCAATTGTTTATGAATCTCAAAATTGCGCATCTCCTCACAGGGCAAGTCCTGAAAAAGAACACCCTTTCCCCTAGTCATTGGTGGACATGAATCTCCTAAATGATGTCCACCAAAGAGTCCCCCATTGCCACGCACCCATATTAGGGTGTGTGTTTTTGTTGAGGCTACCCTTTTTTGTGTGGTTTCCAAGGGAACCAAATGGAAACCTCCCATTCTGGGAATTCCCCTCCGAAAGTTCACATCCAATCTGCTGAAAGGGAAGACTCCAATGGCTCGGTGAGGAGCCTGCGCGGGCCTTGGTCAACGAGGCTTTCGCGCTGGGGACAGCTCGAGATGTATGTTCAACCATACTGTGGATGGACGAAATCCTGCACCACCTGAGAAACCGGGAATCCTGATTTCCTTGTAAATGCCAACCAGCAATGGTTTCCTATGGTTCTCAGGTGGTGCGGGATTTCGTCCATCCACAGTAGTAAGTGGGTCAGAACTTGTCTAACTGAGCTACAACCTGCCAGGCTTGAACATCCAGAAGCGTCAATGGCAAAAATTAGCCTTATGGTCAACCAAGACCAATTGAGGCCCTACCCGGTGGTAGAGTTTCTGGGTTCCTGGGGGAAAAAGAAGGCTTTTAATATTTAATACCTGGAGTCTCCAATACAATGCATCCATTTCCCATCTTGCAGAGTGATGTTCCAATGCGGAACGGTGAAGGCCTTATTTGGCATTGTTTCCCTCGGATGATGAACCCTTAGCCTTAGGCATGTAGGGTCGGTCAAGCACCTGGCCCTAAGCCTGGACGCAACCATCCTGAAAAACAATAGTGAGTCTTCTTTGTTTTGGGGTGCCTTCGAGCCGTTCCCAGAAGAAGAAAATCGACCCTGGGTGTAAACATTGGTGAGGCATCCTATAGTTTCCTTCGGTGTCCTTGGTTTTTCTTTGGTTTCCTTTCATTAGCGGCCACTTGTCTAACCCTTGTGCCATGGTCGGAGCAACCTTTGAGGGCGGGCCTGGCGCGCTTTAAGTTTGAAACTCCCTGAACAAAGTCATATCTTTCCTATATTACACCCGCATGCCCAAGCTGAACAATTTTGCTTATGCTGATGGAAAGGTCTATATTACACCAGCATGCCTAAGCTGATGAATTTGCTTATGCTGAGTTGCAGCCAGTGGTCTAGCAAGATTAAAGATGGGCGTTTTCGAGTGTGTCGGCTTGCATGGACCAATTGTTCGATCCCCGAAATTTGTTGTTTTCCTTCTCTTTTCTCTTTTAGCCAACCCAAAAAGGCTAGGATGTTTAATAGGGATTCACCTCAAAAGTGGTTGGTGGACATGAAGGCCTTGAACGATGTCCACCAAAGAGTCCCCCAATACTCACACGCACCTGTATGGGAGTGTGTGTGTGTGTGTGTGTTTGTGTGTTTGTTGTTCGAGGGAACTGTTTTTTTTCTTTTTCTTTTTGTTTTGCGTTTTTTAAAGGGACACCAAATGGAAACCAGCCATTTTGGAGGCTCCCCGGTTCCTTTTTTGTTTTTTGAGACAAACCCATATCTCACCCTCATAGAAACCGGGGTGCATCCAACTGTCCGAATCGCGGCAGGCGGTGCTGCAGCGGGTGGCCGGTGCCAGCCCGCAGCTGCTGGATGCCTAGGCCAGGGTACCGACTTGACAGCTTTCGGGGAAGACGAAACGAGCTTCGGGTGGGGCAGGGCAAGACCAAGAGGGGGGGGGGTGGGGGTAGGGGGTTGGGGGGGGGGTTGGTGCGGGGGGGTGGGTGGGGTGCGGGGGGTGGAAGGGGAAGTGGTCACCAATTTCTGGGGGTGGGGGGGGGCAAAACCAAGTGCCCAACAACCGACTTTTGGTTGCAGACGCCATGTTCAGGGATTTTATGGATCTGATGGTCAAAGGGTTCAGGACATTTTGAGAAACACCATACCTTTGGGTAGTGGTTTTGAACACAAGGCCTTGCCCGAAAGCTGTGTGTTGCCTGCACACCGGGTTTCAGCCCCCTTTCGACATCTTTAGCATCCCTGTCCCGACCAATTCTGGCTTTGCATTTGGGAGTCCAAATACCTTGGCTATGACATATATATATATATATTATGCGACCCGTCAGTGAAGCCATCGAACAACTTGCCAGTGCGATACGGGAATGAGAAATGGAATGAACCTCAAGACTCTCTACATTCCCCTTCTAAGCATTGGCGAAACCAGAGGTCCAGGGGTCCGTCTACATCTCTTCTTTTGGAGTACCCAGCTGCGGCGGCAAAGCCTTGGGCCAGGCCATCCCTGTCGTCCCTCGCCACCTGAGTGCAGACCGACGGGTGGCCGATCTGGCCGATCCGGCCGAGTGTGGATGCGCCGATCCGGCGCCCGGCCGTTTTCAGGAAAGGGAGCGGGGTCCATTTTGGCCTCGCCTGAGATCTTATGGGCATGGGCTTGACAATTTACCCGTTTTGTTTCTCGTTGCACAAGTCATGGTGCACAGATGAAGTGCTGATTTGCTGGTTGTTTCACACGTCATGGACAGAGGAAGTGTTATATCTCTGGTTTCGTCAGGGCGCCGCAGGAGTCACATGCGGTTTCCGCAGTCACAAATTCGGTGTGGTGTCCCGAGAGATTGTTTCAAGTACGCACACGTGCGAGCAAGACTCGCGCATGACCGACTTGGCAACTGCTCTTACGCCTTCAGTGTACAGTCAGGTGTTCCAGCAGGCTTGCAAACAAGTGCTTCTGCGGCTTTTAACATTGAGTTGTACCCTTCCATCAACTAATATGGAATTGCAAAAAGGCCCTTTCCAAGAGGACAGTAGTCTTTCTACAGGGGTCTGTGCACTTCCATGTTAGCTGGTGGGAGGGTAATTGCGCAATGTAACTACACCTTGCTTCTTTAGATGGTTGAGTTGCAAACGTGAAACTTTGCACTGAATGGTTGTATTGCAGCCATGCAATGATGCAAACCCTGGAGACGCCAATGGCTCTGCCTACAACGGTAGAATGTGTGTAAGAGTGTTTCCCCAGAATTCACGGTATATCATAAGGGGGCGTATTTATTTAGAAGGAACTCGAGGAAGTCCATTTTGCAATAAAGGAGCTTCTGAATACACCGTTTTGCTTTCGATCTTGAAATCCCAGGGTTAAACATCCAATATCTAGCACACTACACGTCGCTGCATCAGTGCACATGTAATATGTGTCACTGTGATTGCGTACTTCTCTTCTGTATGGTCAATCCAATTTAGTTCAATCAGCATTTGCGAGCATGCATTAAACCAGCTGTGTCTCAAGCACTGCTTTGCCAGTTCATGCGCCTTGTCATTCTGGGAACCTTACCATTGGATGTCTGCACTTTGTGCACTTTCTTGAGACTTCTTGTTGTGAACACGTCTAGCTAAACATGGTGGTATTGGCTGAAAACACAGCATTGGATTCACCTGCAGGAATGACACAGAGTTAGATGTCAATCCTGGGAGTATTCCCAGAGTGTCAGAGACTGTAGGCAACCTCGAAGCTACATGCGATTCCCTCCTCCTCCCTCCCTCCCTCCCTCCTCCTCCCTCCCTCCCTCCCTCCCTCCCTCCCTCCCTCCCCCTCCCTCCTCCCTCCCTCCTCCTCCCCTCCCTCCCTCCCCTCCTCCCTCCCTCCCTCCCTCCCTCCCTCCCTCCCTCCCTCCCTCCCTCCCTCCCTCCTATCTCGGGCCAATTTTGCAGTGCGGAGATTGGCAGATTGACAAACATGCCCAAGTAAGATGGTTGTTTGGATATTGACTTGCTGAGACTCGCTGAGAGCATGACATCTATCCATGTATTTAGCGGAATCGCATTTCGCAGTACCCTATTTGACGGCAGCCAAAGTTTGGACATGTGGTGTAATATCATGCCATTTGCTATGATTCTGATGTTTGAAGGTTGCAGTCGGAAGACCCTCAACTATGATTGGGCACATAACCCTCCCTATAGATGTCTACCAAGGGGTCACTCCAGCAATTTGCATACCCAATAGTAACCCTTTTAAATCAATGGATCCGGATCAATCTAGTCCCAGGCAGACAAGGGTATTGTTTCATCCCCCAGTGTTGCTCAGGATGTCGGGGCGTTGCCCATAAAGAGATGTCCAGTGCATTTCTAACTTGGGACTTGCACGTTTTTCATCGGCAAAGCGACGTGATCCCCGCTGCAGCACCGAGGCGCGACATGCAAACTTCGTATCCGAGCAGCTGCTGAGTGGCAAGCTCTGGGTGTTGAATAGCTCGTGGTTGAATAGTTTAACAAAAGGGAAAACAAAAGGGTGCTTATATGTTTCCCGAGCCCCCTATTCAGCGCCCAGTAGAGTCAACCGGAAGACGTCAAGAGTGATACATCTGGACAAATGAATTCGCGAGAGCGGCGGCATTTTGCTTATGCTGATCCGAAGGTCCGCACTGGCGAAACGGCATGGAGCCGGGACAAACTGCACCAGTTCTGTCATGTGACGTCCGGTAGAACTATGCAGTAGAAAAAGATCCCACGCGCAGTACATTTGTTGGCAGCGGCCGTTGTCATTTGCTGCATTTAAACGACATGTGCTATTTGTGCCCCATTATAAAAAGCACCCTGAAGCAAGTACACTCTTTGTAAGCAACTCCCCAGTTAAACGGGGCTCCTTAAAAAATACATTTTGCCCATTTGAAACATGGCCTTTTCCACCAAAATAAAGGGAACCCACCATTTACAAGGCAATGTTCGGGTGTATAATGTAAGGATCCCGGTGAAAGAAGCAGCCAGTACTTGCCCACTGCTTGCATGAAACTGTAGCCGTTCATTGTGTGAAGACAAGCTATGCGCGAGAGCTCTGCACCAATTTCACCTATGGGTAAAGCGAGATGACCCATGACCAAGGTGGATTAAAGAGGGTTCCGTTTTGCCAGATTCTGAAATATCGCAATATGGGAATGTGTCAAAATAAGGATCTCCCAAAATGGTGGTTTCCCAAGTCACGAAAGCTAGCTTTAGCTAGCTGAAGTTTCTCCTTGCGTAAGCAAGGTAAGGGGCTCAAATGCCGAAAGATTGATTTTTTCAATTATTTGAGCCGAAAAGATTGAAAAACATCAATTATTTAGACCCCCCCCCCCCCTCCCCCCCCCCCCGGGTCTCAGGCTCGATTCCTCCCTGGTCCATCCCCCCCCCCGGGCAGTGGCTCAGTGTTCAGCAGTCTCGGTTTGCCCGTTTTGGACTTGGTGCTACGAACTTTTACATGTTCCACCGATTCAGCTTGTTCATCTGAGACCTCAGTCTTCTCGGTAAACCACCTCGCAAGAATCTTTGCACACGCTGCATGCAGAACCCAGAGGTGCTTTAAGACAGCTTCTGACGCCTCTCGTTGTTTTCAGTTTTCAAGGTTTGCAACGCCACCATGTGCGTTTGCGTGTCGCATCCTACGAATCTTGCCGGGCCTCTCGTTGTACACAAGCTACTAAGCTACCTATGAATCCACTCTGTCACCGACCCATCTCATGCAACAACTGCTAGCTTTCGTTCACCCGCTCCTCAAGTGTTTCTGTTCTTTAAAGAAACCTAGAACGGGCAGCCTCAAGAAACACGTACCCATACGAGAGCTCAGTTCGCAGGTGCAGAGTTTGGAGGAGCAGTTCGCCGTCTCGAGCCAGGACTCGTCGCGGTGAGCGGGCGATTCATGTTCACCTCGGGGTATTCCCGCCCCCGGACTGACATGAAAGACAAACATGGAAGCTCCCAGATGTGAGTCCTTGAAACCTGGTAGAACTCCTCGGAACATGGAAGCTCCCAGGACCTGCTTGGAAGACTTGGTTCCATTTGCAGGATCGGCCTTGGGAGCTTCCATGGTCCGAGGGAGTGCAAGAGGACCAGCCGAAATCTTACATGACTTCCTGAAGGGGAACCCGACAGCACGTGGGGAAGGCAACCAGAAAACCTGCCCTAGAACGTGACGATTTTGTTGGTTGTCCATATTCTAGGTCCCCCAGTAGTGCCCTTTTACATCCTTTTACCCTTTTCTGGGGGAGGGTTCGCCTACGAAAATAGACGACCGAAAAAAGGGTACCCTCATTCTAACCTCTCCACTAGAGGACCTAGTATTGGTGGTAAGCGGCGAAATCGAATCACAAGGCTGGTCGCAATGCCTGGTGCAGACTTGCTGTTGCCACCGGGGCTCCGATCCTCCTAGGGCAGGCAGGTTGAAAGTAGGCGCGCATTTGATGTCCGTTGTGAACTGGTCGAAGGTGTTGCATTGACTTTTGCAGATATATCTTATATGTATGTATAGATATATGCATTTGTTGTTTGCTGTTGTCATGTCAGCTGCGTATATCAACAGTGACCACATAAATGTCATTTTTCCACTGTGCAATCGTGATTTAAGAGGTATTCTCTTTTCATAGGCTTGGTGACTGTGGTCCATGAGCCGGCTCCGAGTCTGCAACTCGCCTATCCTCATTCAGCTGTTCGGAACTGAAGCCCGCAAGCCCGGGCGCCTGTTCTGCTTGCGCGAGTGTGGGTTCGGGGCAAATCAGGAGATCACCAAGGGCAACCGCATCATCCAGACGCTGCACCAGGCCACCAAAGAAGCCAAGGCGCCCGAGTTGACGCCTCGAGTCAGAAAACCGAGTCGTGCCTGGGAAATGGGTGGATGGTAAGA